AAGGCGGACGTTTTGATTGTAACATGACCTCGTCTTTAAGGTCCGTTCCCAGTCAGCAGCGAGGTTTGGACCACTCTTGCTTTCTTAACATCACAGATCACAGTAGTCCTGGGATCCGTACTCGTGCCCGGTGCTTTTAAAGGACTATGCCGACCGGCCGGGGTTGGGGGCTGCACCTCTTCCACGCCCTCCGCAGCTCCAAAAATGTATGGGAACCTTGAGCAACAGATGACGTCACACAAAACAGGATTTGAGAGGCTCAAGTAGAGCCCAGGAGGACGCAAGGTTCACATCCTGCCAGGCTGCGCACGCGCCGAAGAAAACAAGCATTTGCTTCCGGTTCTCCAGGACAGGAAGCTGACACTGAACCCGGTTTTTACCTTGAGAAGGTTGGATGTGCATGTTGAGGGGCCCTCTGCCCACACCCACCAACCGAATTTAGCTGCCACAAGGTCTGCTTTTGTGGCTAGGAGACTAAAGCAGAGCCAATGCACAGACCCTAGGAACACAAGATTATGATGGAAGCAATCAGCAAACCTTTGGTTTTTAGCCCAGAAAGTTTACGCTTCCACAGAAAATACACAGTAATCCAGGTTCTTGGTATGTCAAAGATCTGCCTTGTCAATAAAGCAAGACAGTGTGCGACTACCCTCGTTAGCACTACGGAAACATTTCAGTATTACTTATTACTGGTACTTTCTGATAGTCATGCCATAGTCGAACCTGAACTCATGGTCCTACTAACTCCCATTTCCAATGTACTGGGGTTGCAGGTGTGGACCCTCATTTCCATTCACAAGGGGGCAGGGACCAAGGTGTTGACCCAGGGTTTCGGGTTTCACTGAATCCAAGACTGGCTTAGAATCTAAAACAATCCTTCTGCCTGAACCTCCAGAGTCCTGGGATTACAGGATTGCCTCCATGCCCTGCCTGCCTGTGTCTGGCCTTTTCATTTTCGTTAAAAGTGTACGTGGGTGCTGGAAAGATGGAGTGAGTCCTCTGGAATAGCAGCAATCACTCTTACTGGCCGAGCTCCCTCTCCAGCTCCTTTGAAGAGGTGAGAAAAGGGAGAGGAGAGAAGAGGATGGCTTACTCTAGTTGATTAAGGTGTATGGTTTTATCTGCATGTACACGTGTACTTTGTGAATGCAATACCCTCAGTGTCAGAAGAGGCATCCCATCACCATGGAGTAACAGATAGTTGTGAACCGCATGTAGGTGCTAGGAACAGTCCAGGTCCTCTGAAGAGCAGCCAACGATCGGAACCACTGAGCTGCATCTAAAGCCTGGACTACTGCGACTTCTGATAGAGACTGTATTATCAATTCAAAACTTTCCGTTTTTAACTCACCTAAAGCACATTGCATAACAAATTTAGACTTTATTTCAAGTAAATATATATTTTTCTAATGACTAGAAAACCAAAAAGAAATAATGGGTACGACCTAGGAGCTAAACCAGGATGGTGCTAGATGTTTAGGTCACTACACACATGGCAAGCATGAGGGACAGCATCAGATTTGATGTTGGTAGGATTAAGACATAACTTACTTAACTTTGAAGAGTAAAACACACTTTGATGTGTAGAATACCTTGTTTATAAAAAGCATCAGGGACTTCCAGAAAAGGCCATGAATAATAGACTGTTCACCATTACTCATGTTCTAAATTAACTGTCCTAATAAATAACTAGGATTTGCTTAGCTCTTGGGAAGGAGTGAGCTTTGGTGACTGTGTTTAACGGAAATAGTACCCCTAAGGTGGTAGCAATCAGAGCAGTACCATGCCTATCCTCTTACAATAAACAAGCTACCCTTCTCGTAAGACAAGGTGACCTGTTTTCTTCACTGAAAAAAACTTGTTCCTTCTGAAACTCATTTTTTTTAAAAAAAAAAAAAAAAACATGTGCCAACCTTACATGGCCTTAGATTACTCCTTTCAGGACTGTTTTAACTGGTTTCCTTAAAGCAGTTCCCAAGCCTCTCCCCAACTGGAAAACCTATTCAGACTAAACAGGACTGAACATCGCCTATAATTGAGAAGCTTTTAAAAGCTGAAGAGGACACAAAAAATTAGGGTGTTTATTGGCCCATAAATTTAAAAGCACCATCTACAGCAAGTCAGAAATCATTGGTTTCTTCCCAAGACTACATGTGATAATCATGCTACCCTTGTAAACTCACATGCCTACAACTTGCTGCCCATGCCACTCCACCAAGCCCTGGACTATTTTGTCCCCAACACTGGTCTTTTGTGTTTTATTTTCTCTTTACCTATATAGTTGAAATTCTTGAAAGCCAGTGTCCCTTATTACAGTCCCTCTTCTGGACTCCACTGACTTCCTTGGACTAAGGGAGTATGGGTAGAGATGTGTAAAACATAACTTTATTCTTTGCAAAAAAAACAAAAACAAAAACACTACAATCACAAAGGAGCCTGTATACTTAGTAATTGTCAAACATGGGTCAAGTTGGAAATATGGATCAACAGGCAGAATACTTGCCTAGTATTCTCAAAGTTGCAAATTCAGCCCTCAGCACCACTCAGGAGTTGGGTGTGGTGGTGCCTACCTATAATTCCAGCACTCCAGCACTGGAAGCATGGGGCCCAGTTCAAAGTTACCAGCTACGAAGGAGTTAAAGTTAGCCTGGGCTTCATGAGACGCTTTCCTAAAAAACATTGTCCACACCCATATGTAGGTGAATAATGGGCAAAAATCATGCAAGCTTTGTAGTAAACCTGTATAGTCTATGATTCTGTATTGGGCATGAAACAACAGTTCACAGGAACTGAAGCTATGTTTTGATTTAAAGTTCTTTTCACAAAAACACCTGGCCAGTAAACCTCAAAAGGAGAACGAAACAGAGTAAAGAAAGACACAAACTTTGTTTTCATTTGTCTCATAAGCCTAGAGGAATAAAGAAAGCATTCTTTTACAATACACACAGCATATGTGTATATGAAAATGGGAAATCTCAACAGCCCAGCCACCTAAGGTGGATATATTAACAAAACTTCTAAAACTTTAAAATATGCCAGAACAGGTTGATAAGGTGCTATCTGCTATATATCAAATGCACTGGAGTATGTGTTACTTGCAGAATAAACCAGAAGCTTTTCCTCTTCCTCTTACTGATTTGATGTCAGACTTCTGGTGTGAAAAATGTTTCTTTTCATAAACTTCAGGTCCCTCTTTGTATCCCTAAAGGTAACTACAAATGAAACTACGTTGAGACATTTGCTTTAACAGTTGTCTATTCTGGTTTCAGACAACTGTGTGACAGAGTCCATCTGAATTTCCTATTGTAATCCAGCACCCATTACTATCACAGGTGTATATTCCTCATTCACTATTTATTGAAAATTGACCATGTGCAAAGCATTCACCCACGGCCTAGCAGAGTGCACTCAGTATAAAGAAACAATAGCCACTCCAGATCAAGTGTACAAACACTCTTGAGAAAGGGCACAGGATAGTCAAAATGTGTTGAGATAGGAAATAACCAATGAATAAACAAAAGGGATAGGTCTGCAGGGCAATCTAACATCACACCCATGGTGATGCTCCAAAGAGCAGTTACTCTGCAACCCTGTCTTCCTTCGTCAGTATCTCTGTTTTCACTTATGTCACTAAATTCACAACCAACTGCTTGAATTTCTTTTAAACCATTGTTGTATTTGTCTGACTATATATGATGTTAGTACTACAGAAGGGGAAAGATGGTTAGGAACAAGGGGGTCAATTCATCTATCTGAATATGCAAATTAATAGCAATTGTGATATATGAGATGGGGCCACTTAAAAGTATTGACAATAAGGAACAGTTGGGAAGAATGGTCCAATACAAACGGTTTGCCCACTGATGACTATTAAATCTAGCACAGGACTTCCTGGGTACAGAAATGTTGTATGACCATGAAAAACAGAACTTGCAGGGCTCTCTACTTTGGACAGCCACCACCTAAGAATTATGACACTGGAACTAAGTACTCCATTAAGTTTTGAACTTCCATCTATAATACAGTAATAATTATCAATCTTACGTATCAACTAGAGGACTAATTAAGGGAACGCACTTAGTCAATTAGCTGGAACAAAATAGCCACTAAATATGACTTTTTATTTGACCTGAAGGAAAACAGAAATGTCTCTACTCTTAGCTGGAAACAGAACCTTGACACCACTAATATTCCTTAACTCTTTCTTACCTCAAGCCTCCAGATGATCTTATGATCAACAGTAATTTGATATTTTGAAAAATTTAAGGTTTATTTTTATTTGTAAGTGCTTGCTCCTAGGTATGCATGTACACCATGTGTGCACGTGGTGCCTGAGAAAGCCAGAAGGTGGCTCCGGATCCACTGGAGCTGGAGTTACAAGCAGTATGAGCCACCCGATGTGGGTGCTGGGATCCACATTCCCCATCTTCTTCAAGGGCAGTGACTTCTCATAACAGATGATCTCTTAACACAAGAGCTATCTCTCCAATTCTAGTAATGAGATATTTTTAAAATATTAAACAACTACTTTATTAAACTTTATCCTGATGTCTTAGTACTCATTCTTATAAGCTGTCCTTTCCTAACAATAAAGAATATTATAGAATATCATTTATATTATAGGCAAATATTATACTTAGTCACATCTGGTCTCCAAGTACTTTTAACTAATTTTGAATGACAGGAAAAGGTAGACCAAAATATAGTGCTGTTTACCTCAAACAAAAGGAAATGGCTCTACTAATTTAAGATTTCACAATGAAACTGCAAGTGAGCGAAATTTTGGAATGTGGGAGGTAGCACACAGTATGTATGCAATCCCCCTCTCAAAAACCGACTCTTTTTTGTTGTGGGACATTACTGAACACACGTTCCAACTTAAATTTTAAAAAGCCTTAGCCCCTAAAAACAGCTAAAATGGCATGCTTATTGATATGAGAAAAAAATTCCCAAGTTTAATCAGAAATAAAATAAATCCCATAACCCAAGGAAACCTGTTGTACAATACAGCCCCATGTTTGGGGTCAGACAGCTGAAATGTTTATTTAGCACTACAGAAATCAATCAAAGTTGCCGGTAGGTAGTCATGTACAACAGAATTTGGTTGACAAATTATACTTACATATGTTTTCTTAGGCATAGTCAGCAGCAACTGGAATAACTCAGATTTATTATAGGACAGTAAGGCTGAAAACCACCGGGAGTCCAACAGCTTTGTCTGGTATGTGGAAGAAACAACCCTAGTGCAGCCAAGTTTCCAGCAGTGGGCTAATGAGGGCAATCTAAAGACGGCTTTGACTGGTGGCAAGAACAAGTGTCGCACAGACAAGTCTCCTAAATGCGTTCTATATCCAGCATCTGTACGTTCCGGGTTATTCCTCCACCCGATTGTACTGACCTTCTGGTGCCTACATCCCAAATTCTCTGAACGCTTTTTTTTTAATCAAAGTTTTCAGTATAAAATACATACTTGGAAAGTCTGGAGGGAGACAGGGAAGGAAAACAACAAAGCCACTTTGCCCTGATCACTATCTAAAATCCTTAAGAGGTTTTGTGTTATAAATACTAGCATGCTTCTGTAATAAGTAACACCTTTCTGATAAAAATATTCAAAAGATTAAACTAAATTAATAGATTTTGCCAGGTGAAAGACTAAAAATAGGATTTACAAGTACCCCCTAAAATTCCACTTGCATTAAAAAAACAAAAAAGTCTGCTTTGTAAGTACTCAGCTCCAGAACATCTGAATTTGCTGGGGTTTAACTAATGCCAATGTTTACACTTAAATAATCACTGTACTATAAAAACAAAGTTCAGGATATTTAAAGTTCATGAACCTCTGATCAGGCTTAAGATAACAGAGCTCACACTGATGAATGGATCTGAACTCACTGGGCCACCCTGATATTGCTACGAAAGTTCCAGCTGTATGCTCTTGGTAAGATGGGGTGACAACTCTGTGTGCTTTGTATTTCTTTTCATTCAAACTCCTTGATAAGATGCAAAGTTTTTAACTATGCAGTAGAAGGTACATAATTTAAAACATTCTATAGAAATAACATGTTACCAGTAATTTACAATTTAAAAAGAAATCAGCCACAAGAAAAGTCATAGCTAGAAACAAGGTTTTACTATGATCAGTGCTTCTATTACCCCTCTCAGGGAAGTGATATTGTGGTGTGATGTAAAGGCAACATTGAAAGTTCATCTTTAAATTAACCACCTAATTTATCCCCTAAAATTACAAGGAATCAGTCTTGTACAGGTCAAGTTCAGTAAACTAACATGTTCTCTCAGCACAAAGCAGCACTAGAAAACAACAGGACAGATGAGAGGTGACTAGTTTTGAAGTGTCTGCTCCATCAATAACAGACATCAGACGGCATCCATCCCAGAGCAGACACAAGTAAAGACTAGGGCAAGAATGCATCACATTCTTGGCTGAGAAATGTCCTTTGTCTCTGGAACTTTCTAGTTTGAATGAAACAGATTTTTCAAAGTAAATCAGGTCATATAAGTTGGCTGCTTCAATAACATCATGATGAGGTATGAACGCTCTGAATATTCCTTACATTCAGCAGGATTTACCAGAGATGTGCAAAAGCTTGTCAGGGCAACTTCTAGATAGCTTTTATTTATTTGGGGGTTATGATGAATTCTAGAAGAGTAGTCTAAAAAGATTTAAAAGGGTATGCTCTGAAACAGACATGAGCAACTTTTCCTTCAGAATTCATTTTGGAAAGAATATCATTTAAAAAAAGAAAGAAGAAAAAAGAAAGACTCCTCTCTGATAGTGTGTCCCAACATTGAGCCAAGATGGCCAACTAGCACCGAGAAGTCACATAGAACTCATTTGCAGTTCTCTTGGCAATTACCCTTTTTTCTTGTTTTTTTTCACCTTCTAGTCCAAGCACAAATGTGGGTCAGTGAACACAGTACTGGAAGCGCCATTTGCAGGTACATTACAGTCATCATTAAATAAGCAGGAGGTGGGCATATTCTTCCTAGGGGAGGTAGGGTACTAGTAGGAGATGAAATAAAATCAGGGGATACTGAGGTTATTCGATCACTGCCCTTTTAGTCTAGAGGTCACACTGAGGAGACTACTATGCTTTTAAAGATAAGGGCGCTGCACTGTAAGAGCATGTATGCAGCATTACATTAGAATTGAGCTGCACTCAACAAAGGAAAAAAAAATCCCTAAGTAACATTTAAATATGTGTTATCTGCCAGTCACAAATAGGAAAAGCACCTAGGGTGAACTCCAATTTACCAGGGCCTTGATCAGGACCACAAAGCCTGAGTATCTTTTGTAATGCAGAAACACAGCCTCTAGTCACACTGGTTTAAAGAAAGTGATGGGTTTTGTGTTCTTCTTACTCCTGAATTGAATTTTAGAACATGGTTTTACTTAAGGACTTTTAGCCTTCATACCAGCGTTAAAACTGAACCACTTCCAAATCCTAAGAAACAAAACCAAAGAGAAGCAAAAGCCATACAAACTAATATATGCTTCTCTCCTTCCTGCTTTAAGGAAATACGCCAACCTAGGATCACATTTAAAAGTCAAAGTGTTAATTCTTCAGCATTCCTGACAACTAGAAGCACATTCACTGAAGGCTGAAGGTGAGGGATTGGATGGTTTAACTTTAATATCTGAAGAAAATGACTCCATTAGAGGAAAGAAAACCATCCCATCTCAATAAAGATTAATGCAAATGTGGCTAGAAAAAGCCACCAGGTACTCCAAGGGTTGATTCACTGTGGAAGAACTCAAGAAGAGTACTCTGACGTATACACAAGTCTAAATATCTCCCTTGTCCAAGTAGTTGTGTAAAATTCAAGATAAAGGTTTTAGTTTTATCTTTTAATGTCATTTTTCCCCACTTTATGGAATGAGGAAGAGTCCTCTTTTTTCCCCCACAAAAAAGGGAGCCACATTAGTATGTGTATATATTCCCATGACTCTAATATAAGTGCGGATCTCCAAAGCTTAGGGATTTTTCCATAAGAGAGTGGGCCGTTCTGGTTTACCCTCATGATAAAAGGGTATTCCACCACAAAGAGCCAGAGGTTTTCCAGATGTGTGTAAGAGAGCAGGTGCGCAAGGCAAGCAAATGAGCGCAAACAGTATTATGGAAAACATTTGAGAGATTAGCTCCATGAGGACTGTGGGCTCCACAAGAGGACTTGACTGGGTAGCCTGGTCTGACACAGGAACAAGAAAGCAGAGGATTGCTTCAAAGCTGGAAGCCTTCCATAGGAGCCTCACACTGCTGGAAGATGTACTGCTGCTGGCTAAGGTCAACCTGGGGTGCGATGCTGCTGTCCTCATCTTCGGTCCCAAAGTAATGCTCAATAAGATCAAAAGCCTTTTGATAGATCTCCTGGTTTTCATGACTCTGTAAGAACTCAATTTTATCCAGACCTAAAATGAAGAAGAAAGAAGAATCTTTCTTGAAAATCTCAGGAAAAAAAAAAAATCTCAGTAACTACATTCTTAATTCTACTTTTTTGATGTAAAGATTCTCTATGTACATATCAGAAATGATTATTACTATTATATCCAAAAGCATATATTATAAAGTAACATCTTAAATTAAATGTACGTAGCAAGCTGTTTCTGGCTCAAGGAAGCAAAATTTAGCTAATGTTGTCAATGTGTCATCCAGTGCTCCCATATTCGTGTTTTTAAATGACTATTGTTCATTTCCTCATTTTCAGCCAAAAGCTGCCCAAAGTCTTACCATAGGCTTCCTCAATCAAAGCACAATAAGGATTAATGCCTGAGCCATTTCTTTTGGCTTCTTGTTCTCCAAGCCTCAGGATGTTTTCTAAGCCATTTAGGGCAACCTGTACAATTTTTGCATCCATGACAGTGAGGAGATCACAGAGTGGCTTGATACAACCCAATTCTACTAGGTACCTGAATCAACAAAAAAGGACAATTTAGTCATACAAAATATTTAATTGTTAGATTTTTATTGAACTGTGAAGCATCTTCAAGCTTGCGTTAAAAATAAAAATAAACTGTCAACTATGGAACTTAAGGGAGGACAGTGTTTATTTAGCCCACACATCTCAACTTCAGTCCGTTATTGAAGGAAACCTCCAACCGTCTGCAGAACAACCACTAAGCCATCCATCTCCCTCAGCTCCAACTAGAACACTGAGTTTTGATGAGTTAATGCTATCATTATCTCTACAAGTAGGCACACTTCTCAAATACACGTTGTGTGAGCTAAGACAAGAAGGAAACAAATGAAGGACTCTACAGATGTATGTTTTTTAACTCCACCAGGACTTAACATGCAACACAGACAGTCTAATGAATGAGACACAGACTGCACATTCATACGCTACATTATCACATTCATGGCAGATACTCACGCAATCCCCATCGTTCTACTCTCTCACGTTATACATGGAGAAAACAGAGATAAGATAACTGATGTCGCTGAAACCTATATATGTATGTGGAATGTCACTGTGGAACTTAGTGCTAGTCTTTATATTCTTTCTACACTACTTTAAACTTAAAATACATATATAGATCTCTAAAAGAGAGGTCACATAAAATTAACACTATACTATTATATGATAAAGATGAAAATCACTTCTGATGATATGGAGATTAAGAAAATAATCAAAATCTATTCTTTTCTTTTCTTTTTTTTTTTTTTGGTTTTTCAAGACAGGGTTCCTCTATGTAGCCCTGGCTGTCCTGGAACTCACTCTGTAGACCAGGTTGGCCTCAAACTCAGAAATCCACCTGCCTCTGCCTCCCAAGTGCTGGGATTAAAGGCGTGCACCACCACCGCCCGGCCAAAATCTATTCTTGATTACTAATTTTAAAAAGAAAAGCACCTCACACTAAACTAAGGATAGAGGAAATATGGTAAAAAGCCTTAACAAGAAATGTTTACCTAACATCATATTTGAAAAGAAAAACAGAGTCTAAGCAAGGGATACTCTCTAATTATTCTATGCAGGTTAGGAAACACACACACACACACAAACACCCTGATCAAAACAAGCCTGGATAATCAGTAGAGAAAGTCTATGATATAAGGCATGATACAAAGCTAATACACAAATGTAACTGTTTATACCCCAGTGATGAACACTTAGAATCCAAAAGTAAAAACATAATACTATTATGGTAGCATTAGAAAACAGTATAAATCTGGTAGGGCATGGTGATATACACCTTGAATCCCAGTACTCCAGAGGCAGAGAAGAGCAGCTCCTTGAGTTCCAGGCCAGCCTGGTCTACAAAGCAAGTTCCAGGAAAACCACAGATACACGTAAAAACTAGGTCTTGAAAAAACCAAAACAAAACTGAAAATGAGGGAGGTTGTAGAGATAGTGCAGCATTTTAGACTGTTTGCTTCTCTTCCAGAAGGCACAAGTTCAGTTCCCAACATCCCATAGGAGAGGGAGAAGGAGAGGGGGAGGGGGAAGGAAAGAGGGAGGGGAGGAGGGGGGAAGGAGGGAAGGGGGGAGGGAGGGAGGGAGGGGGGAAGGTCTTTTTAAAAAACTGAAAAGAGAGAAAATAAGTATTAAAAACTAAATGTAAGGGTTACACAGATGGCTCAGAAGTTAAGTGCACTTGCTACTACTCAAGGACTTGAGTTCAGTCCCCACCCATACCAGGTAGTTCACCACCTTCATTCGTCTAGTCTTCCAGGCACTTGCATTTACATGCACACACACACCCACACACATCACTCATATATGAATAATTAGAATTGTAAAAATAAATCTTAAAGACTAAATGTACTTCTGAGTCTAATTATGACACTGATAATTTCCCAAAGTGACAGACTTAAGCATTCACAGTCAAGAAATTCATTGCTTAGTGATCAAGGCTTTTGATCATATATTGGGGATGATGAGAGGTTAAACTTGTTTTCCTTTAATTTGCAAGATGCTACCTAGGTAGTACTTACTTGATCTGCTCAGCTGATCCTCCAGAAGTTGCATTTGTGATGGCCCAAGCAGCTTCCTTCCTTGTCCGGAACTCTGCTGTTTGCAGTATACTAATAAGAGCTGGGAACATGTTAGCATCTATCACAGTCTGAAAGTGAAGAAAAAGTTAAAAGAACAAGGAAGCTACAGGATTTGTAAAAATATTACTAATTGTCATTGTAACTTGCTTTACTTTTTGTTTTGTCTTTTGAGACCAAAAACAGCTCTGGTTGACCTGGAACTTGCTAAGTAGACAAAGCACGCAATTCATAGTTCTAACTGCCTCTGAATGCTAGGATTAAAAGCATAACTTTTGAACTAACTTGAAAAATGATGTTTGCTTTTCCTGTTACCATTTTCTAATCTTTATGAGTGATTTACGTGTGTGTGTGAATGCACAGACACAGCACTGGCTCTCTCCTTCGACTATGGGTTCTGAGGATCAAATCCAGGTCTTTGGGCTCACTCAGCAAATGCTCTTACCTGCTAAGCCATCACACGAGCCCTGTTATCTTTTTAGGAGGCTTATACTTAGTACCACAGATAATACTCTTATGGAGTTTATGGTCTTAAAACGTCATCAGAAGAGATGGTTAAAGAGATAAAGTTCATGCTGTTCAAGTCAGAGTTATAATTCCTAGAAACCATTAGAAATGTCAGATGTAGTGGCAAGCTCAAAATGAAGATATTTAAAAATTTTATTGACTATTATTAAAGGCCTTTTGTAATCCCAGCTGGACTGAATCTCACTGTTCAGACCATGCTGTTCTCAGAACTCCCAGAGATAAACTCTCAGAGATCTCTCATAGTACTGCCTACCTGTGTATGACACAAACACAATAAACAAATAAAGGTGGAATGTACTTAATTACCTGGGCCAGGAAATGTTGATGCAAGCCTTTAATCGAAATACTAGAGAGGGAGAGGCACACAGATCTCTCTGAGTTTGATGCTAACCTGGTCTACCTAGTGAGTTTCAGGCCAGCCATGGCTATACACTGTGACCCTGTCTCAAAATAATAGTCTTCCTTTGTAACCGAACAGCACATTCTACTCAACTCCAGTTACATATCATCCCTAGTCTTCCTAACATACTTTCTTCATGCTGGAAACTGCCCAGAAACCTAGTAAAGGTTAGTATAATTGCCTCTATCAAGAAAATGAGAAACTCTGAAAAAGGGTATATTTAAAGAAAACAGACCCTCCTGGGCCTAGTGGTATTCATCTTTAATCCTGGCACTCAGGAGATAAAAGCAGACAGATAGATCTCTGGGAGTTCTGAGGACAGCATGGTCTGAACAGTGAGATTCAGGCCAGCTGGGATTAGAAAAGGCCTTTAATAGTCGATAAAAACTTGAAAACAACCTAACACATTGGTTCACTGGAAAATATAATTTAATAAGAAGCCAATCTATTTAGCATACAGTACATCAAAACATTTTGAAAACACAAATACTTTTTTTTTGGATCTTCAGTAAGTCACCAAACTTCAAAGGTAAAGAGAAAATCCATGGCTAAGTAAAAATATCAAAAGACTAACGTCAGAATAAAGAAAAATTAGACTGAAAAAGTAAAACTGGAAGTTGACAGTTCTATAAGAAATGCTGAAGTCTGCATATTAAAGACCAACAAAACAACTTTAGTTATAATTAAAGATTTTAAAAAAAATAGAGAGGCTGGAGAGCTGGTTCAGCTGTTTACTACTCTTTCAGAGGATCTAAGTTCCATTTCTAGCACCCACAGATGGTACACAACTGCCTGTAATTCCAGTTCCAGGAGATTCAATCCCTTCTTCTGGTCTCCAACAGCATCACATACATGTGACAGACACACAGTAAAAGCAGGCACATACACATAAATAAAAGTAAATAAAATATCTTGACAATGCACCTCTCATACAAGGATAAAAGGGCAGTACGACAGCATTACCTGGATCTGTGCCCTATTTCCAGCAGTAATATTAGAGATTGTCCAACATGCTTCTTTTTTGATAGATTCCTTTGGGCTACTCAGCAGATGCAATAAACTCTGAAGAGCTGAGCAATTCAAAATTACCTAAAAAAAGAGTTTTAAGTTTTAATTATGGCATTGTTCTCAATATATCATTTGATTTTGGATTTTTCATGTGGTTTTGGTTCTTGAGACAAGGTCCTATGTAGCAGAGAGGCCTCAAACTCAATGCCTAATATAAGAGAATCTTGAAATCACACATCTTCCAGGATCTACTTCCCTGGGGGTTAATAAGTACATCATTAATTCAACAAATTTATTTTAAGATAAATGTAGGAGAAGGTGAAAAAATCTCCTCTAACATTTTAAGAAATAACTTTATATACGTAAAGTATTTTACACTTGCATTTATTCGTGTATGTATATAAGCTGGAGTGAAGCACAGTACATATGGAAAAGTGTGCAGCAGTTGACTCTCCTTCCATCATGTGTCCTAGGAATCAAACTCAGGCCAGCAGGCTTGGTGGCAAATATCTTTATCATGTGAGCCAAATTACCAACCCAATAAAAAAATAATTAGTATGAGTCTGAAATACATTCTAAGATTTTAAACTAGCTGCATTGTGTACATTCACAACCACTGACTGGGACATGTGTGGTGGTACACATCCCGTAATCAAGCACTTGGGAGGCAAACACAGGAAGATCTTGAATTTGAGGATAGCTTTCTCATTATAGTCAACTGGTTCTCTAAGAAACAAACAAAAAAACTAAAAAGAAATAAAACAAAAACCTATAGTACAACATCTACAATGATGGTAGTATTTAAAAACTCTAAGAGGCACTAGAGAGATGGCTCAGCAGTTAAGAGTACTTGTTGCTCTTGCAAAGAGGGCCAGGCTCAGTTTCCAGAGCCTGCATGGTGTTTTATAACCATGCACAACTCCAGTTCCAGAGGATCTGATGCTTTCCTTCTGGTCCTCAGAGGCACCAAGCTTATACATGGTACACATACATATGTACACACAAAACACACAAAATAAAATGAATTAAGCATTTTCTAAAACAACTAAAAATAGGGGCCAGGTGTGGTGACACATATCATTAATCCCAGCACTTGGGAGGCAGATGTAGGTGGATTTCTACTGAGTTTAAACCCAGCTTAGTTTATACAGAGAATTATAGGACCAACCAGTGAAACTTAAAACATTGCCTCCACTGAAAAGAAAAGGGGGAGAGAAACTTTGCTGTAGTCCTCTGGTGCTAAATAATGACATTCTAAGCCTTTGGGGCTGATTTTCTAGAGGTCGAAGAGGGTTTGACCTCTGCAATCTCTCTACCTTGTACTCAATAAACCAACACATACTGAAGTCTACAAGATACAAAAAGTTAAAAACCAAAACAAACCTAAATAAAAGGCCAACTACCTTAAGAAAGCTTTCAAAAGTAAATCATATTATATAAGAAACTGAAATTATACAGATAAAATCATTAAAATGGTGAAAAGTTTAAGAATCCATCACTGTAGAATTGAACTGACTCTATTCCAGAAAGAGGCAAGTATTTACAAAGAAATAAATCAAAAATAAAAGCTAAAGGTTTTACTTACTACACAAGTAAAATAACTCAGATGGATGGTATATATTCTTTTTAAAAAATAAAAAAAACCTACCCACAAAGTAGCCAGGAAAAACAAAATAAAACAGTACATTTCAGGCTGATCTGGAGATGCTGTAAAGCCTTTTCAAACATACAACATTAAAATAACAGGTAAAAAATAAATAACATTTCATCTAATAAAAACTGCTACATGTCAAAAATCCTGAAGTTAAAATGAACACCATCTCATATGAAAAACTATTTGTAACATGCACTGGCAAGGGCTAGAGAGATGGCTCAGTGGTTAAGAGTACTGACTGCTCTTCCAGAGGTCCTGAGTTCAATTCCCAGCAACCACATGGTGGCTCACAACCATCTGTAATGGGGATCCAATGCCCTCTTCTGGTGTGTCTCAAGACAGTGACAGCGTACTCACATTCTTAAAATAAATAAATAAATCTTAAAAAAAACAAAAACAAAAAACATGCACTGGCAATATGGCTCAGAGGGTAAGGGTATCTGCTGGCAATTGGCCTGATGATCTAAATTCAGTCTCCATGACCCATATAGGAAAAAAGAGACTTCCATTAAGTTCTCCTCTTGACTACCATGTGACATACACAGATATCACACCAACACATGCACATAAAGACACAAAACATGTAAAATAAAATTGCAACAAATAATTTATCTTAGTTAAATAAATTAAAAAGAAAACCTAATTTCTTCACAAGTATAAATAAATCAAAACTAAAACAAAGCCATGCATTTCCTATTAAATGTACCAAATAAAACAATGAAAATTTCAGCTGAAAGTGTCTTTCATTTACAAAAAGTAGAGTCTGGTGGTGGTCATGCATGCCTCTTAATCCCAGCAGAGGCAGGTGGATCTCCAAGTTTGAGGCCACCAAGGTCTACAGAGTGAGTTCCAGGACAGCCAGGGCTACAGAGAAATCCTGTCTTGGGGGACAGAGGGAAGACAAGGAAGGAAAGAAGGGAGGGACGGGAATTGGAGAGAGATGGGGGGGGAGAAAAGAAGGAAAAGAGTAGAGTGGGGAAGGGAGGAGCAGGGCAGAGATTTACTTCTCATGCTGCCTGGTGTAAAAAGCCTTCTTACTACATCCTCACACCACAGAAGGCTGAAGAGCCAGAGAGGACAAAATCCCATTCTTACATGATAGAAAAGCAAAAGAATAAGCAGAACTTTCTAAAATCAATTTTGTCACAAATATTGTTTTTATTTTTTATTATTTAAAAACCTTGCAAATAAAGTAAGTATCACCCACCAAAATTAACAAGACCTGAAGTCTATAGATCTCAGTAAACCTCTATGGAGCTTCATACTCTCACTACTAAATGTGTTAAGCACTCATTCAACACCAACAATCCATGACAAAGTTACTACAAGAAAACAATTAGCTTTATTCTTTCACAACCTGTGCCTTGAAAAGCTGGATAACCTTAAAAAAAAAGTGTATCATCTACCAAAATTAAGCCCTAAGATATAAATAAGCAGACCCTTGGCGAACAATCAGACTGAAACTGTTTTTAAAAGTCTCTCCTCATAGAAAAGCAGAGGCCAGATGAATTCATTAGAGTCCTAGCAAACCACCAAGGAAGACTTCATACCAGTTCCTCTTTATTTGTTCCATAAAACATAAAGGAACACTACCAGATTCATTCTACAAAGCCAGGATTGTCTTGACATCAAAACCAGGTCAAGACATATCAAAACAAACAAACAAACAAACAAAAACAAAAACCCAACAGACCAATTTCCTTAATGAACATAGATGCAAAAATTCTTAAAAATACTTGCAAACCAAATCCAAGGACACATTAATAAGATTATACATTATGACCAAGTGGGCTTTATCACAGAAAGGCAAAGTTGATTAACACACACATATCAATAAGTGTAATATACCATGAGTAAACTCAAGGATAAGAAATTATGTAATCATTTGAACTGACTGAAAAAGCATTTGACAAGCTCAACATCTCTTCACAATAAAAGTTATGACAACTTTAGGAATAGATGGCACAAAACTACATAATACCTCAAATTTATAATAAAGGATACATACAACAAACCTATAGCCAACCTTAAATGGAGACGAATTAAGAGCATTTCCTCAAAAATGAAAAACATATGTACACTTTCCCCCTCTCTTTTTTGATAGTGCCCAAATTTTTAGCTAAAGCAACTTGACATAAAGACAAAGACATAAATGGGAGTAAAACAAGAAAGGAAGACATCAAATTCTCCCTATTTCTAGACAGGATTCTGGTTTGGTTTTGTTCTTTTGTGTTTTTGCCTTTATTTTATTGTTTTGAAGCAGGGTCTTACGGTGTAGCTCTAACTGGCCTAGAACTTCCTATGTAAACCAGGCTATCCACAATTCAGATATCCACCTGCTTCTGCCTCTCAAGTGCTGGAACTGATGGTGTGTGTCATTGTGCCCAGTCTCGGATCTAGTAAATACATTAAAGTTGCAAGTTACAAATTCAATAATTAAACAAAGAACATTCACTTGTACCAGCAACCTACTCTCAGAGAAATTAGAAAAAATATTCCATTCAAAATAACTCCCCCTAAAATCTATCTAGGAATGAATTTAGCCAAAGAAGTAAAAGACCTCTACTGTAAAAACTTCAAGACAATGACAAAGAAAATTTCAGATAGAAACAGATTCTGGATTGGCAGAATAAATTTTATAAAAATGAATATACTACCAAAACTAATTTATAAAATTAATGCAGTGTCTACCAAATTTCTTATGTCATGTTTCTCAGCTTTAGAAAAAGCAATACAAAATTCATATGGAACAACGACAACAATAAAAACAAAAACAGCAAAAACCCACAGGTAGCCAAAGAAATCCTAAAGAGCAAAAACACTGATGAAGTAGCAGAGTACCAGGTGTCAAGTTACACTATACAACTACAGTGCTAGAGACAGCCTGATACAAGACTACCATACGACACCTCTATTTCACCCTCAGCAGATACCCAGATAAATCCACACTACCACAGAGATATTCACAGCCCAAAGTTTAATGCTGCTTTATTCGTTATAGAAAAAAATTAGCATAAACCCACCTATCCATTAATATATATGAATGGATAATGAAAAGTTAGTATATATTAAAAAAAGAATACTATTCAGGTCTCAAAATTAAAATTATAAATCTTGCAGGATAATAGATATGCTTAGAATATATAATATTAAGCAAGATCATATAAACTCAGAAAGAAAAAAAACCCACGTGTTCTATTTTCATATGTGTAATCTAGCAAATAATTTATGTATATATGTAAGCAAGTGTACATGTGGGTATATTATAACATGTAGAAAACAGAACAAGAAAGGCTAAATATTGAGGGATGAAGAAGGACTGAATTAAAGCACCAAAGTGTTATGGTTTTTCAAATTATTGACACAAACAATTCTAGGTTATCTACCCAGAAGCAATTAAAGCTTCTAAGAGAATGTTAAGTGAACAATAGGGGAAAAAAAAAACAATAAAAACAACTGCACACAGTTTCACAGAAGTATGCAATAAAACTGCAAAAGGTAAACATATCAGAAGTGTGTATGAGGAGTAGCGGCAGTTAGGAAAGTCGGTTAATGGTTAATACTAGGGGTAATGAAAGATCATCAAATTGCCGAGAGATGTCACAATATAATTTTTAAATACAAAGAAGTGATTTAGAAAGTAAACAAGTCAGGAATTAAAAAGAATACATGGCAAAGAGTATACTAGAAAAACTTCTGGGGGGGGGGGGTTGGACCATACAGAACAACTTAAAGAGAACACTGCACAAAATGCCTAAAAGTGGGGGTGGGGTGAGCACCCTAAGAACAAAAGCAGTGACTAGGAGTAAGGCTATTATGAAGTTTATACTCGCAAAATAAATAGGCCCAAAAAAAGAATGAAGCTAAAATCTAAGTTAGGAATTTGTCAAGTTCTTTGTAAGACACAAACAAACTGAATCTAAGAGGAAAGTAACACTTTGTTAAAAGGTCAGGAGGAGATCCTGAGCTGTTCTTATGGGTGTCTTATAGCTGTCTCTTCATGAATCTGCTCTCTGAGATTGTGATGTGAGTGGCACTCAATTCCGGGGAAGGAGACTCTCTACTGGTATATATAGCTGTCTGAAAATTTCATATCTGATTCCAATGATGCATGCTTCTTGAGTGTCAATGATACAGCTGCAAGGTCCCCTCAATAAACCCACTGTTTACTAAACCAGAAAGAATCCTTTCTTTGATCTATTTTTGTCTTATCTATGGCGGGTATATCTTTCTATGTATTGCCTGAGGTAAAAAAGATCATACATGGAAGAATAAATTGAGAGAAATAATGGTTTGGAATGAATAGGAAGGTAAATTAAGTAGACATGGTAAAAACAAACATGCAAACTAAAACCTCCTTATACCACTCTATCCAACACCTCCCCGTATCCCCTCAAGATCATCTTCATAATAATAGTAATAATAACAAACAACAATAATAAAAATTAAAGTCTCACTATGTTGCCTAGGCTGGTCTAAAAGTCACAATTCTCCTGCTTCTGACTCCCAAGTACTGGGATTAGAGGTATGCACAACCCCACCTAGCAATGTATATTTGAATACTTTGTGCTATGCCAGGATCTACTAGATTATAGAGGCACAGACATGATTAAGGTTAGTGTAGTTTAATAAGAACCTTATGGGTAGCCAGGCGGTGGTGGCACACACCTTTAATCCCAGCACTTGGGAGGCAGAGGCAGGTGGATTTCTGAGTTCGAGGCCAGCCTGGTCTACAGAATGAGTTCCAGGACAGCCAGAGCTACACAGAGAAACCCTGTCTTGAACCCCCCCACCCCACCCCCACCCCCCCAAAAAAAACCTTATGGGTTCATGTTTTGAATACTTGATCTCCAGCAGGTAGCAGTCTTTTACAAGGCTGTAGAAATAAAGATACTGAGAATATTAAACACTGTGTCAGAGTTGGGATGTTGAACAATACAAAATTCAATATAACAGAACTGTGCTTGTGAAGTTCAACAGACTCGATTTAGAGAAACTTTAGCACTTGTTCATACCTGTGTCTGAATATCATCCCCTGTGACAATGTTTCCCACAGCCCGCAAGGCAGGAGAAACCACTTTATAATCATTATGCCTGCAACCATTAAAAAAAAAAAGGACAATATTGTTAGAGACAATAGTTCTATCCAAAATCTTTTTCTTTAAGAATGAGACTCAAAATAAGGAAGATGTGATTCAATTTTAGAGCAGAAAGGAACTTTAAGACTATTTAGGGAATCTAGCATGGTAGCAGAATTGACCATTACCTTAAAAAGCAATCATTCTCCTTATTTTTAAAAAGTCTTTCCTAGTAATCTTTCCCAGGTACTTCAGCACTGAATTCCACACTTTTTATTCTTTGCTACAGGGACCCTCTCTCCCTTACTTGTCTCATGGAGCTTCTGATGTGACCAGGAAGCACAGGTAACATTTATACACTGTTCTTATTTCTGAAACTGCTATGTCAACAGTTCAGCTAACTTCAAAACCCAAGTGAGATTCACATCTCAAACACTTTACTGCTTCCACTAAACTACAAGGCTGCCTTAATGGTCAAGAAAGCTTTCCATAAAGCCTGCTGTATATATGTGAAGACAGATACTGAGGACAGATTTCAAGGTAAATAAAGCAATACCTTTGAGACTTTCCTCCAAGACCCTATTCTCTTGCTTCACATTTAAGTCCTAACTAATGACTACAATGACACCATGTTGTAAACTTAATAACTAAAGGACAAATGCTTCCCAGATATTTACTTCTTTGGACCCTAGTAGCACTATGCTGCCTTTAACTTGTGACGGATACTACACTGCTGGTCTACAATCAGTCTCCGGTCAGCTATATAACACACAAAATTGTTTTGTACATCAATTAATGTCATGCTGCTTGTAACTTTACTATTTCATCATCATATTGTGGCTATATTTCTTCTAAGTATTAGCTGAAGATTTGGTTAATATAGTCTCAAATTATTTATGTCAAGAGTAAATCTTCCATGCTATCATCAAAAGCATTACAAAAATATGATCCAAAGTCTGAAACCAATATGAGTTTTTAAGTAAGAAATGGCAATTTATCATAGCAATATGCATTTGATTTCTAGTACCTGGCCTTAGGCCTTCCAATGTGGGTGGTCTAACAGAGATAGAAACACAGACAAAACTTTCCAAAACATTCTGCTAAAGGACTAATAATGGTAGAGGAATAATACATTCTTCATTAGGTCTCAAAAATGAAACCAAAAACGACATCAATATAAACAAGAGGCAAATGGCCAATGCATAATAAATCAGTAAGATTTATAATCGACTAATACCAGAGTGATAGAGGTGTGGAAAAAATCATAGAGTATACTAGTTAGCATCAGCTGCTAACCTGGCACAGCCTGAGTAAGGCTCAACTGAGGGGCTGTCCAGATCAGAGTGGACTGTGGCTGTGAGAGACTGTCTTGGCTGATGACTACTATGAGAGGGAGGATCCTAGTCCACTGTGAGCAACACCAACCCTAGTGATAAACTGGCTGAGCATGAGTTGGGCAGCAAGACAGAACAAGCCAGTAAGCAGCAGTTATCCAGGTTGGAATTACTTAGTAACATCCCTGGTTTCCCTCAGTGACAGACTGACCTGGAAGTGAAAGTCAAATAAACCCTTTCCTCTCCTCATCTAAGTCCACTTCTAAGACTGAATCACAGCAACAGGAAGGAAAACAACCTAGGAGTGCATCAGACACTTTCCTAAAGATCATCTTACATCAGAAGCTCCACAAGTCTCCTGCATACTCCTGCATCGATGACTGCTTGGATTTTATCATTGGGTCCATCTGATAGGTATGAGAGGGCCCAGCAAGCATCAGCCAGTACATCAGTGTCACTGACAAACAGCAACCAAGAAAGGACATTCAGACAGGGAGAAACCTGGGGAAAAAAAAGAAAAAAGCTGATTACAACTTGTGGAGTGAGATAAGACTCAAGAAGCCTATCAAACAGACGCTGGGTGAGTCACGTGTCTGAAGGACATTTCTATCTCTGGCAATGTAGGTATTCAGTTTATTAAACTGAGGTAGTCAGAACACAAGAAAAATTGTTTCAGGAAGAAAATTTGTATGCATTTATCCTTAATACACACTTACAACAAGGAGGAAAAGGAACTTCCACAAATACTACAGCTGAGAACTTGTTGCAGAATTTTGTTATCTACAAAAACTGCTACAGCCCTAAAAAGTAATATAGAGCTTCATACTGGCACTGAGAAATTACCCTAAATTAAAACAACAACAAACTACCAAAACCATTTCCTCTACAAACCAATACATGTTCTAACATTCTAAATAATTTTACCAAAAATTACCTTAGCCAGGTGGTGATAGCTCATGCCATCCCAGCACTTAGGAAGCAGAGGGAAACAGACTTCTGTGAGTTCAAGGACAGCCTGGTCTAAAGACCAAGCTTTAGGACAGCCAAAACTACAAGAGAAACCCTATCTTGAAAAATAAAACAGAGCCGGGCGGTGGTGGTGCACGCCTTTAATCCCAGCACTTGGGAGGCAGAGGCAGGCGGATTTCTGAGTTCAAGGCCAGCCTGGTCTACAGAGTGAGTTCCAGGACAGCCAAGGCTACACAGAGTAACCCTGTCTCGAAAAAAACAAAAAAAAAAAAAAGAAAAGAAAAGAAAAAAGAAAACAAAAACAAAAAGCAAAGCAAACAAAACCCTTTACTGTAAACATTAATATTTAGAAGCATTTTTCCCTAAGAAGTTCCCAAAAGCACAGTGTTTACCTTAGCAAATTCTGGAGGTGGGCTCTTCCCTCTACAGAGATTAGATAAAGCCCATACTGCATTCCGGGTCATGGTCAAGCGGTTTTGCTTTGAAAATAACCTACAAGTATAATGGTTCCATGGTAAGTTTTAAGATACTAATTCTCTATAAATACTACTGACAAAGGATGTCTCTAACTTTCCTCCAGAACAATAAAGACTTCATTCCTTTCCTATATTATTCATTCTCTGTAGATACACGTCACTAATTCTAATGAACTATTTGAGAATTTCAGTAAGAGACATCACTCTAACAATGTAACAAGACAGGTGAAATCAAAATAACACTAGGATATCCAAAATGACATCCCCAGATGTAATACTTCTCATGTATTCACTACTTTTAAAAAAAGAAAAAGAAAAAAGACACTTACTGCAGAAGAGGAGGAAGGATATTGCAGTCTAAGACATAGTCCCTGCACATGGTACTATCTCCAGCAATGTTGCCAAGAGCCCAGACTGCCTGTAAAAGAATCAATCATTCATAAAGTTGCATACTTTCATTCCCTCATAATTCATTAAGAGATGCCAGCATACCACAGTAACATTTTACAAATTCATATAATAGTTCACCAATATTTTATATAAAGATTATTATTAACTCTAAGCCGCTCATCAGGGAGTCAAACCAGTTCCAGAATTAGTTAGAAAAATATGTGACTATGTTGAACAAGCAAAAGGAACAGTTTCCCAGTGCTGGAAATTGAACTCAGGACTTCACACAGGCTGAACAATTGCTCCTCCTACTAAGCTACACCACTAGTCTGGAGGCAGCTATTTTTAAAGAATCCTATCCTCACTCATAAGTAATATTTTGTAGTCCTTTGCACAGAACAAGGATTTAAATGGCTTACTTTGTAGATTAAAAACATACTTAAGGTTGCTTTTAATAGAAAACTCTAAGCACATAACTGAAATAAAAACAGATGTTTATTAAACTTGTGAAGGTTTAATAAACAATGGTCTCATGGTACATGCCATACCGACACTTTTATAAATTGGGGAAAAAAAAAAAAAGACAGCTGAAAGCTGCAAGAATCCCATGGTTGGAAAAAAATACTAGAGGACTTCTTTCTCCTGTCTAAATAAGCTATGAATCACTGTGACGGAGTCGTCTACATGAAGCTGGGTGTGGCTATGAGAGTGTGAGCTCTTTCGTCTGTGTGACTGCTGAGGTCTTACCTGCTCCTGGACATCTTCAAACTCTGAGCTAAGCAACTCGATGAAGATAGGCACAGCCCCTGCCTGAATCACATTCCGGGTCTGAAGAGAGTTTCCTGAAGCAATATTTGTCAGGACCCAAGCTGATTCAAACTACAAAGACAAAAGTAAGTTTTATTATTTTATTAAAATTTAGAAAGTTATTTACATAAAGCAATACAACATTTTGTACATAAAAAAGTCTGGAACCAGGCTGGGACTATTACTGGCATATTGTAAATACCATGTTCATTTAAAATAATTTCCAGAATACCTCAGTTTATAAAGAAATATTCAAAGGTATATAAATTTTCAGACCAAAGTATAGTTACCATGAAACCACAGAAAAATGTGTCTTATAAGTTGATAGGAATGTTCTCTAGCCGGGCGGTGGTGGCGCACGCCTTTAATCCCAGCACTTGGGAGGCAGAGGCAGGTGGATTTCTGAGTTTGAGAGTTCGAGGCTAGCCTGGTCTACAGAGTGAGTTCCAGGACAGCCAGGGCTACACAGAGAAACCCTGTCTCGAAAAACCAAAAGAAAAAAAAAAAAAAAAAAGCAATGTTCTCTAATGAAAAGAAACAAAATGACAAATAATTTACTTCAGTACAGTTAACATCATTTCATTAATTAAAGGGTTAAAAAGGAATAAATACATTAATATACATATTGTACACATAATCTCTGGACAGTCCCAAGAAACCATCAAAAAGCTTACATGGACAGGCCTAGATGATTGGGAAATGGCCTGGAGCTCTCTATGTAGACCACAATGGCCTTGAGAGGTCTGCCTACATCTGCCTCCCAAGTGCTAGGATTAAAGACAAGTACCACTATGCCCAGCTAAAGATAAGTTCCTTATAAGAAAAAGGGAAAGGGGGATGAAGAGGAAGATGAAGAGGTGGTAGCAAAGTTGAACAGAGTAAAACTCGATCTAGTATTACAGCATTGGTAAGCAGAAATAAAGTTATTGCCAACAACAATTACAGTATATTACCAATTTTAGAGATCCCTAATTTTCTCTTTAGCTTAACATTAAGAAATTCAAAACTGAATATGTCCCTATATTCAATCAAGACCCCTGAATCTTAGGTTAATTCCTTCTACCCTTCTCTATTCTTTAATGAATAGTGTATGTAGTAGAATAAAAGAGTCACATTTCTATTTAGAGGTATAATTGAATGAAAGATCAATTACATGTCATCAAAAATATACTTGTAGATACTTTCTATGGTTTATATCAGGTAAAAGGCAACTGTCATAGGGAAAATTAAGCTGTCAATCATTGGATGTAGCAGAACAAATCCATGTGACTATAGTAAATGTACAGCAGAAGAAACAAGAAGATGAAAGTGAGAGAAACCTGTGTGTTTTTTCTTGTCCCTTACAAGTTCTTTGGTTTGCTTATTTTTAAGAGTAATATAATCAGTAAAGGGTTACATCTATGTAAGATGATCTGATTTGGTTTATAGTTGGGAAATTGTCACCAGAAAAGGGCAGTCAAAGACACTCTGAAAGCAGTAATGTTTGGCCAGTACTATATGACTAACATACATGCAACTGTATCAATAAAGATAGGAGGAGGAGGATAAAAAAAATTAAAGTCAAAAGATCATGGGGAAAAAAAGCACTTCATATATTTATCTCTCGTTAAATTATTAGTTGAAGAAATATTCAAACTATTTTCAATCTCTCTGAAACATAAACAGAAATACTTCATTTGCTTTTAGTTCTACAACCTAGGGAAAGTTCAAACAGCATACACATTATTTATCCTATAGAGGAAGGATTGCCTAAAATGTAGTTTATGTAACTCACTATTTAAAACTGATAGGTTAGGGGCTGGAGAGATGGCTCAGTGGTTAAGAGCCCTGTCTGCTCTTTCAGAAGTCCTGAGGTTCAATCCCCAGCAACCACATGTAGCTCACAACCATCTATAAAAAGATCTGGTGCCCTCTTCTGCTATGCAGGCATACATGCACACAGAACATTGTATTTAATAAATAAGTCTTTAAAACTAATTGGTTAAAACACAAGGAAAATGATGTAAGAAAGCAGCAGAATGTCCTATCAGAAGGCAGGCTCAAATTTCAAAAAATAAGGCCTGGAGAGATAGCTCAGGAGTTCAGACCACTGACTACTCTTCCAGAGGTGCTAAGTTCAACTCCCAGCAACCACATGGTGGTTTACAACCATCTGTAATGAGATGCCCTCTTCTAATGTGTCTGAAGAGAGCAACCATGTACTCACATGCATAAATAAATAAATGTTTTTTAAAAAGTTCAAAAATAATTACCAGTTACTATAGAGTTCAAGTCAAAAGAAGCTGACAACTCTGATGAGAAGTGATCTGGGAAGAGTAGTCCTATCTGGAGACTACAAATCTAAGAGAAAACCATCGCAGTCAGATGTTGATGGAAATCACACTAATACCCTGATAACATAAAGAGCATGTTAAAGAGTTCTCGGTAGGAAAAAAAAATCAATTTGAACATTAACTGCTGCCAGGGTTGATACTGCTGGATGAGTTTAACATCAAAGGTCTCTGGGAAAAATAAGAAATCAAAAACCTACTCAGAAAAACAAAACAGAAAAACAGAACTGCAATGATGATTAGAAAAATGAAAAAGTGATCAAGAGCTGAACATGGATGATAAACAAGCTTTGGAAAGAGCTAATGTGCCATAGTTACGATTATATTTACTACATAATCATAATGGTAGCCATCTCTGAATGCAAAAATCATTCCAGAATGGAAATGTAAATGTCGTTTTAGTATTTATTACAATGAGGTACATGTGTGTAGGACAGATGAAATGAGAAAGACAGAACTCACTTGAGGAATGGAAGCCTGCTAATGTCAGCCACTAGCAAAAGTGTTTAATATGTAGGTAATTTTTTTTTTAAACTTGGATGTGAGTTACCTAGATGTCATTTCCTTTGTCTGTATTACAAGCTCCATTTCATTAAGATAGGAAGCTTTGTTTTTAATATTTCAGCCTTGGATGCTAGATTAGAAAGCAACCAGAAAAAGATCGTGAAACAGAAAATCTCAGATCTAATGGTGACTACAAATACATAAAAATATAATAGAAAGAAACAAGAACTACTTAAGTAATTGTATTAACTCAAGAGAACAACAACCTGAAAAGTGAAAGGGGGTATCTAAGAAATGTTATCACTAAAAGTAACAAAACATGGACACAATTATTACAACCTTAGCTTTCTCTATGTTGTAATAATGTATTTAATCTAATGTATTCTTAGCAGTCCAAACACTGCACCACAGAAAACTACAATTGCTCATCAATTATGATCCACTGATGTTTTGCACAGGAACTTGCTAAATAAGAACTGATTGCTAGAACTGCAATCTGTGTTCTTCAGGTTTGAGGTTTTTCTCTCTGTCCTCTTTCTGAGTCTCTACCTTCTGGTGCTCAGTTCCTTTAATAATAAGGAAAATGAGAATCCAAAGCTGAAGTACTTCTGACCTCCTATCAAGTTTCCCACTCCAGGTTGAGGTACGCCTGGCTCCCTTTCTCCATTTGGATCAGGACTCTGTTGCTGGCCACTTTGCCGGTTCCACTCTGGTTCCTAGCAAATGCCAGGCTCACCTGGAGAGCAAGTGAAAAGAAAGGCTCACATCAGAAAAATAAACCCAGGTTATCAAACTCTGCAGAGAAGAGCACCTGAGGTATCTGAGCAACCCTCCAGGAAAGATAAAAGATCAGTGAAGATGGGAGGGGAAGAGGGTGAAGCTTACTGCAGTTTATCATACTAAGTTTCCAGAGGGGACAAGAAAGTCAAGAAGGGGAAAAAAACTAAGCAAACTTCATTCACATTTGCAACTTTTGGAGGAGTGCCATCTAATGTTTAGAAGCAGGAAGCAATTTATTATATCTAGATATTTTCATATAAGATTTGGCAACACAGTGTCTCAGCACTGCAGAAGATAGTTTAAAGATGCTGGGCCTGAACTCAAACAAATGGGCCCACAGAACATCTCAGAGAGCAGACTAGTCTCATGCCAAAGGTTAGAGGGAGTCACTAAGCTTGACCATACTCTTAAACTAAGTAACTGCTTAATTCCAAAATCCTAGATTCTACCCAAATTCACCTCCAGTTTGAATGGCAAGAGAGTATTGGGTAGTGATGTCCAAACAGAGGAATTTTTAGCTCCCTTATTTGAGATACTACACTGGTTTGAGTAGACAAAATAAGTTCACTAAAACTCAGTTCTTTAGCTACAGGATGAAAAAAAATTAAACTTGGTCCTGGGATTTATTATTGAACCATCCAATTTCCTTTGTGCCATGTACATCATGTCTCTTTCTGAAAGAGAAATGGCAAAAATCTTATCCAAAGACACACTACTCACATCTCCAGAAAACAGGCAGGTATAAATACACTACCTTACATTTAGTGTTCTCCCCAAGCCACAAAGCTTTCCAGAACACAACTATTTATTTGAAGCCATAGCAGAGCAAGTATGTCTCCCTGACATACTTAAATTTCGCACTGCTTTAGAGCTGATGGGTGTTACCCAGTACTCACTAGAGAGAGAATAGTGTGCTGCGCTTCACATGCAGAAGGAGAGCTGGAGACGACAACCACAAACACTAGACTGGTTACTTCCCAGTCTTAGAGAGCTAAGGCAAACATTAATGAAGTGGTCACTTGAGAGGAATCATTTTTCAGTCTTTGATCCCAAATACTAGTCTGGACAAGGGTGGAATCTAGAAATTTAGATAAAAGCAAATCAGAGCTTTTAAAGATGTTCACCTAAACTCTAACCAATTATGAATCACAAAATGATACAGGACTTTATATGTGTCAGCCAGGAAAAGAAACTGTATATGAATATACTAGACTGCTTATAAAGTACAGGAGAATGTAGTAACAGGGAGATTTGTTTCTCAAGGTTTATCATTTTAAGTCTAGAAGATTCTGCCTTATTTTGTTAGTGTATTAGTAGGCTTCTATAATTATCTAACAAAAACTAAAAACTGCTGATCTGATGGTATGACTGGCACTGTTCAACTACACTCATCCCCAGAGACTCGGGAGCAACATCTTTATAATTAACAAAACAGCGCTCTTTCCTACCTCCCTCTTCCCACAAACCATTTCAAATGATAAACTGCAGTCAACTCCTCTTTTGGTCCCTATAGTTTTCTTGGCAGGTTGCTTAGGGGCTCAGGCTCTGTTCTCTGCAGTGTTGGTTGTCTGGATTTCCTTTTTTCTGAGAAAATCTCTCTTTCCTTGCTCTCAGTGTAAACATGATTTTTCAACTGTCTGGCAATTCTGGACTTAAGTGGAGACCAGAATTATAATCCAGGAAGCAGCAAGCAAAACAGAATCTTAATTCAAATAAACATAGGGATTGGCAAAGGTCAAACTGGAGAAGAAAAAAATGATGGGACAGAGAAGTACTCTACCTTTTCTGGATTTCTTCCTTCTCTTCTAGAAGAAATTCACCACTGTAATAAAGATGTAAAATAAAGAGAAAGATGGAGCAGAAAGAGAGAAAATATCAAGACAAAGCGTTAAGACTCGAGAGTCATCTGCAATGGCCTAGCCAATAGGGAGCCTAGGAAATAGAATGTCACTTCTAAAATGCCTCAGTCATGAGTAGACAAAGGAGGTGGGAATTAACCTTATTATTGGCAAGTATTTCTCCCATCTTGTGATCTACTTGTGATTTAACCAAATTTTATAGCTGCAGGGTATCTCTAAAAGGTCTGAGCCTTCCTTGGTGAGAACTTAGGGGTTATAGGTATTTGTCAATAATTCAGATATTAAAGGAATCCTACACATACCAAGGATGCATAGCTACTGAATAATCAAAATAGTCGCAAAAGTCTAAATTTACTCAGGAATAAAGTAGCATTTTTAGAATTCCAGATACTTTAAGACTGCGAACATGACAGCTGGCCCCTTATACTGGAAAAATTATTCAATCCTAAGGTGGTAAACTCTCTGTACATTATTAGAAAATCAAACTTAAAGCAAAAAGTTCTCATGGATCTTTTGGTGTAGAAGGGGGATAAGACCAGGTCTGATTACTGAGTTTCTGGGCCAACCCATGTTATGTATACCATCTTGAGAAGGCTAACAAGTAGTGTGTCTCTCGTCCCTGTCTCTCAAAACTTTACATAGCTTGCATAGGCTCTTGTTATGTAGACTCCTACTGCTAAAATTCAAATAAGATACAAATTCTGTGAGTACTAACTATGACCTACAGAGTAACAAACTTACACAAGCAGTTCATAAGGTAATTATCACCAATACCACTTTTAAACAAACAAGGCTTCATACAGATTAAAATAAGTAACTCATACACAAAAAGCTTTTTGGAACAAACAAAGTTCTACAACAAGAAATGAAAATATCCGCACCTGCAGTGTACAATTTTCTTTTCGTTTGAGGAACTCCACAAACCTGGCCACTACTCCTGGTGTGTTGATGACTTCATCAATAGGAGGATTAGGTTCTGTTTCCCCATAAAATAAAATAAGAAATCTCAATATAATAACTTTATTATAGATCAAAATTAGTCATAATACCCCTCTCTTCATTCTCTGACCAACTCTCATATTAAAATCTATCCCCCCAAAAAAGGTTAAAATTGAGTTTGGTCACTTTAAAAGTAGTGTGGCTTGAAAGATATCACAAAAATATAAGCTTTAATCCTAAGAATAAAGGAAGGGAATAATTCTTTGTTTAGTTTTTGAAGTAAAAGTGAAATCTCTCATATGTGCGTCCTCAGTACTGGACCTTGTATGCTAAGCAAATAATTCTTGTCACTGAGACATATCACCAGGTCCCAAGAACTCTTAAAATTAATGCCTTTACTATTGTTATTCTCAATCTTTCTAATGCTGTGACCCTTTAATACAGTTCTTCATGTTGTGATAAACTTTAACCATAAAATTATTTCATTGTTACTTCATAGCTGAAGTTTGCTACTGTTATGACTCGTAATGCAAATATCTGATATGCAGTTTATCTGATATGCAACCCCTGTGAAGGGGGGTCATTTTGACCTACAAGTTGAGAAACTTTTGTGTTTTAGGAAACTCTGAAAAGTAGGGGAAAGCCAAAGACAACTACTACTATCCAATAGCAACAACTATTATCAATATTCTGATATACTTTCCTTCAGTAGAGGAGGTTTCAGTCTCTGCCTAGAGAACTTGGATGACAAGACTCCTAATGCTCTTACAAGATTTCACATTATCCCTAACAAGAAAGTGCCAGCAAGAATTCATTAACACTCATTTTGATTTATGACAATGAATATAAGTTGTCATTTAATAAATACTTATTAGGTGAACAGATAGGAAATATCAGATAAGCAGACCAATAATTTCATATTTTTATCTGTATGTAGTAATGCCAGAAAATACAGTTAGAACAGTACTACCTAGGGAGATCTTTAGCCAACCTTACTGTAAAACCAGATGTGGTGGTCCACACCGATAATCCCAACACTTCAAAAGTGGAGGCAGATCTGGAGTTTATTCTCATGGCTAGTTACAGGACAGCTTGTGTGCTACATTAAGGCTCTGTTTTTGTTATGACAAAAGATTTAGTTTAATATTGATTTGGAAGGAAGGGGTTTTGGTAACATGTCCTTAGCATGGTTCAACAATTTTATCAATCACTCAAACAAACTTGGTAACACTGAAGATATACTAGTTAATATTCTGAATTACAAATATTGAATAAAAAAGGAGGAATTAAAATAAAAGAAACCTTTTGGTTGGCTGGTTGTCAGTACAGGAGATAAACCCTCGGTCTTGTGTGCATTGCAGGCAAGCAGTCTATAATTAAGTTACTTCTATGGCCACAACAAATGATTGTTTTTATTTATATTTTAAGATATGGTCTTACTATGTTACCCAGGTCAGCTTTAAATTCTGAGATTCCTGCCTCAACCTCCTAGAGTGGTAGGCAATTCTACAACCATCTTAACAACTACATAATTTTTGTACGTATTTTAAATTTACTTATTTCTGTTTCTCTCTGTGTGTAGACCCATTTGCATGGCACATATGTAGTGGTTGGAGAATAACCCACCAGAATTGGGTCACAACATCTGGGTTCCAGAGATCAAACTCAGGTCATCAGTCTTGGAGCCCAGTGCCTTTCTTTATCAGTCTGATGGACGGTCTAGCCACTGTAGTTGTCTAAAGTCTAATGGTCTAGCCACTGTAGTTGTCTAAAGGGTTTGTAAAAACCCTGTTGTGTTCATTGTCGTAATTAAACTGTCAACTAGAGAGAACGTAGAATTATCTGAAAAGACAATTTCGACTGAAACATTGCCTACATCAGATTAACCTGTTGGAGAGTATCTTGATTGCTAACTGATGTATGAGGACCCTGCTCAAAATATACCCAGCACCATTCTCTAGGAAGGTGGTACTGAACAGTGTGAGAAAGCAAGCTAAACATAACAAGCCTGCCTGCTAGCCAGTAAGAGGATCCCCATAGCACACCTGCCACACATTTTTGTTGGGGTTTTTGAATTATGTTCTTTGGCATGAAATAGCAAAGCAGGCCTGCCTTCAATTCCTCTCTTTACTTCCTTCTACAGTGAATGGACTGCAGTGACTTAGTCCCCATAAGGATTGCACATAAGAACACTTGGTCTTGAGCTAATGACTATTTGAAAGATGTTATTGAGGACAGGCTTTTGAAATGTGAGGTTTAAAACATATCATGTGCTTTCTGCTTCTTCTCTATGGCTTGAGATGGGAACTCTCAGCTGCTGCTCTAATCTCCTGCTGCACGCCCCTCCCTCCATCATGGTGGGTTCTAACCATCTGGACCTGCTAAGACCCAAACTCTTCCTAAACAAAGTGTTAGCACAGCAATAAAAAAGTAACTAAATCAAATAAGCCCTTTGTCCCTAAGTTGCTTTTGACCAAGAAGCTTTGTTAAAACAACAACAAAAACCCAAATCATTCAAAACTACAGTTCAAGAAAAGTTTTTTTGCTAAAAAAGTCAGATACTTAACTATGCCATAATCACTACTGTTCTCTTAAACTGACATCGAAATGGATAATCTTCTCAGGACAAGAGAGCAAATCTCTTGCCATCAATTTCAGTAATAAACACATCTAAAGTAATAAACATTCTAGTTATCACAACATTCTAGTTTTAAGAAGGAACTTGGCAAACTAGAACACATGTAGGAAAGCAATGGTCATAAAATGCATTTATATGGAAAAACCATGCTAAAAACGGACGTGACACAGAATTTTACTAAACTGTCATACTAAATACCACTTGTTTTTTTTTTAAAAGATTTATTTATTTATTTATTTATTTATACACATTGGTGTTTTGTTTGGAACAGAAGCTACAGATAGTTGTGAGCTGCCATACAGGTGCTGAGAACTGAACCTGGGTCCTCTAGAAGAGCAGCAGCAAGTGCTCTTAACTGCCAAGCCACTTCTCCAGCCCTAAATACCACTTCTTATATGTGTGTTAAATTATTATGCTCAATTTTTTAATGCAGTTACCATCTCAAGACATAAGTACTTTTAATAACATGATTTTAAACAACCATAATTTAATAGTATGGTTCACTATTTATTATCAACATTTTAATACTGCTCATAATTATTTTTACCTGCCCAGAGTAATAAGTATTATGTACTATTTCATTCTAATTACCCAAAAAGGATTTATCCTATTCCATAATAAACCTATACTTAACTTTCAGTGGTAAAATACTAACATTAAAATCAGTAATTAACATTCAAGTAATTTTTTATGAAGAGCAGAGCTTTTCAACTTCAATCAGCATGAACTATTATTACTCACTATGAAGTCTTTTACATGATAACTCCCAAATGAAAGTAAAGTTCCTTTCTGGTAAGATTCCATAAATATGAAAGGAAGAATTTCTACTTATAAAACATACTCCAAAAGAAAGCACAGAGAAACCCTGTAGAAAAGAGATTATGGACAAGGAATAGTTTACACGAGGATGAAATGTATTCCAGACTTACCTTTTGAAAGTAGTTTCCTAAATTTCTGTGTTGCAGAAAGCTGCTGTTCTGGGCTATTCGAGAATATCATATCAGTCATGTCAGAAGTAATGACGCCCCCCTGGATCATAGACAAAGAGCAAATACAACACAATATTAACCTTAGTTCAGTGAAAAGACAACATAAAATGCTTATCAAATTAATAACACATTTCCAAAAGTTATACAAGTATATAAAAATCTTAAATCCAAAACTGTGAAAGAACATAATAAAGTGACATGGTCAGACTCTCTATTATTAAGAACTTCATGATAGCTAGGCAGTGGTGGTGCAGGTCTTTATCCCAATGCTAGGGAAGCAGAGGCAGGTAGATCTCTGATGAGGCCAGCCTGGTCTACAGAGTGAGTTCCAGGACAGCCAGGGCTACACAGAGAAACCCTGTCTCAAAAAAAAAAAACCAAAAAAACAAACAAACAAAAAAAAATTTTAAGGCTGAAATTAGAGAGTGGCTCAGCAGTTAAGAGCACTGGCTGCTCTTTCTGAAGACCCAGATTCAAGTCCTAGCACCCAAAAGGCAGCTCACAACCACCTCCAGTTCTGGAGGAACTGCCAATCTTCTTCTGGGCAACCTGGGTTCCCTGGGCACCAGGTACCCAAGTAGTGTATAGACATGCAAACAGACAAAACACTCACATGTATAAAATACAAAAAAGTTCTTTTTCATGACTCTAAATCTAAAGCAACCGCTCCACATATCTGTTATATCCGTCGTTTCTATTCTATTCTTTTTATTTATGAGACCAGATATTCATGTAGCTCTGGCTGGCCTCAAACTCTCTATTTAGCCAAAGGTAACCTTGAACTTCTGATCTTGCCACCAATCCCTGAACACTGAATCTATAAGTGTGGCCACTAGACCCAATTTATGTGGGCCTGGGGATTGAACCCAAGGCTTTATAGATAAGCACTCTGCTACCTGAGACATCTCAGAGCCCCAGCCTATTTAATCACATACCAAACTCCTATCACTACGAGGTAGTTTTCCTAGTTATTTGTTAATATCTGAGCTTCCAGATTAGTATAATCTTGATACCCAATCACCCTGTCTGTGTTTATTTTTCCAACAGATGTACAGACATAAAATTGTACATATTAATAGGGTAGCATTAAGTATTTCTATACACATTAATCACTACTACTGATGGCAAGAAATGTTCAACTTACACTTAGTAAAGGAGGTGGTAGTGATCTTTCAGAAACCACTGATTCTAACCACTGCAACATTCAAAAATTGAGTCTGATTCCTGATTAAACACGTGTGACTACATGTCTTCATATATGCAAACTATGTACACCTACGTATACATAATCGTTTTATTATATACAGTAAACAACTATTGTTTTCTTCCTTTTTATATATACTCACTTTAAGATTTATATCATGGTATTTAAGTTACAGGACATCTTTGCATCCTCTTCTGGGGAGAAGGTTGGTTACATAAAAGCTATACTATTTTAGAAGAAAGCATGACTTCCTTATCTTTATTTGAAGCTCCATATGGTTGGTTTAAAAAGTGTATGTATGCCTAATAAATAAGGAGTAGATTCTGATAGCTAACTTTATGTGCCAACCAGGTTACCTAGACCAATATTAATCTAAATGTTACTCCGAATGTATAGATGTGATTAACATTTAAATTAAGACATCCAAATACAACAGATTATGATTGCTTTTCCTAATGTGGGGTGAACTTAATTAGCTATAGGCTTTTTAGACTGAAGTTTCCTGGAAGGGAGAGAATTCAGTCTCGGACTACAACAATACTTCTTGAGTTTCCAGCTTGCTGACCTACCCTCTAAACTACCTGGTTGACAGCTCCCATCATAAAAGCCTTTCCGCCTTTCCCTTCTGCCTTTCCTTCCCTCCCTCTACCTTTCCCAGCCCCTCTCCATGGTTCTTTCTCCAATAAACTCTGACTAATACATCTAGAATACTATATTCTGAAGAGGTGGCTAAGAAGTACATTCTGCTCTTGCAGAAAGACTCAAGTTCTGGTCCTAGAACTCACACTGGGACACTTACAAGTACCTGTAACTCCCATTCCAGGAGATCTGATGCTCACTTCTGGCCTCCTTAGATACAAGTGCCCACACAGAGAGACATCTTTTAAAAACAACACTACTACACTCACTTAGAATCCCCTTTAGTAGTTGAAAAGACAGACTCCCTGTCTGTGTGTGTGTCTGTTTTTCAGTGTCGTTCTGGCTGGCCTTGAACTCACTCTGTAGACCTAGCTTGAATTCAAGAGATCAGCCTGCTTGCCCCTCCAATTACTGGGATTAAAGGTGTGCACCAAACAGATCTTCTAAAGGCCTGAGAAAGATTTATCACAAACTGATTAAAATGTAGGCCATAATTTCTGTGTTTGGGGAAAACCTAATCCCTCTTGGCCTAGGCAAACTAATATTTCCCACAGAAGTCTTACCAACAATCCCTTAATATATTCTCATCAAATTAATGTTTGAGAGCACCATTTGTGGAGCTGGGATGCAGCTCATTGGCCAAGCTCTTCCGGTATACAAGTTCCTAAGTTGAGCAATAAGATACAAAATTGTTCCAATTGTTTTCTAATGAAAATTGGGATGAATATAATTATTACTACTCAGTCAGAGATAAATACTATTAGCATACTGAAATACTTCCTTAGTAATAGCTAATATATATATATATAAAAATAGGTTTAGCACTCACTTATGTCTACATACATTTTTTTATATTTTTACCCATTTATACTTAGTTTAACAATGACCTCCTATTATTAAAATAGTCTGTTTTCTAAACTGTGGTCTTGTAGTATGGATATGGTTTGAATTTATTTTGAGACATATGTACAACTTTGGCCCCATTTTCTTTTCATCTCTCAATTTTAACTGTTTCGGTATCATATGATCAGAATGGTACATTAGTGAGCTGTGTTATCTGTGATTTATTTTGGAGTTCTCTCAATTCATCTCAACCTAAGCTGCATCATGGACACTTAGGCTTCTCTCTGTTCAGAGTTCACCTCATATAAGTTTCTTTCTTTTTGGGAGAGGTAGGGGTGGAGATGGGGGTTTGAGACAGGGTTGTTCTGTGTAACTCTGACTGTCCTGAAATTCAGTTTGTAGACCAGGCTGGCCTCAAACTCAGAGATCCTCCTGCCTCTGCCTCCCAAGTGTTAAGGGGTTAAAGGCATGTACTACCACCAAGCTCTAAATTTCTATCCAAGTAAGTTACAAGAACATGAACCCTTATCTATTATTGTCTTATAAGTTCAGGCCTTATCTGCTTCAAAATTTATTTATCAGAATATAAAACTCAAATGCTACTTAAAGCACAGTTCTAAAACAATGATATAAAAGAAAAGAGTACAGTTCCAGTGAAAAATGAGGTGCCAGCCATAGATATGAAAGAAACATAAATGCATCACCAACTGAAAGGCCAACCTCAACAGTCTACACAAGATGTAATCCTAACCATGGTATCCTGGCACAGGCAAAACTATGGAGAGAATAAAATAATCAGTGGCTTTAGCAGGGAGGGGTAAATAGAGGAGTTTCAAGGCAGTAAAACTGTGTATGATCCTACTAAGAGAGGATCCAAAAGTAAACAAACCTCAGGCTCCAGGTAAGAAAGTATGTTGACAGAGGCTCATTAACTCAAGAACCACTCTGATGATCGAGCTAAGGAAGGGAGAAGCTGTAACTGTAGGGAGTCAGGGTAGTAAAGGAAATCTTGTGCTTTTGTTTTGGTTTGGGTTTTTTGCTTTTTATTTTTTACTGTTTTGCTGTGAAGCTAAATGTTCTAAAAACTTCACTATCTATTAAAAATTCCAAAAGGAATCATACTCTGTCAAATCTAAAAAGAAACTTCTTTTGCAAACTGGAGAGCTATGTAGTGACAGAAAACACAATAGTGTATCACATGCCACCATTTGTAAAGGAAAAGGGGGAAACATTTGTTTTCTTTCACACAGAGGTTCTCATAAGGAATAAATAACAAGAATTAGTGATTATCAGGAGGAGAAAATATTTGGTGACTGAAATGGCAAATACTTTAAAAAAAAAAAAAGTCATATACAGGGATGGGGTATGGCTCGGTGGCAATGCTGTTTGTCTAGCCTGAAAAGGCTGAGTTAAATCCCCAGCACCACAAAGATGTATGCGTGTGATTTTATTAAACTATATTAACAGTTCAAAATACTGGACTGACAAGATGGTTCAGCGGTTAAGAGCATTTGCCATTCTTGCAGAGTACTTGGGTTCAACTCTTAATACCAACATGGCAGCTCATAACCACCTCTAACTCTAAATCCAAGGAATTCAGCACCTTCTTCCAGCCTCCGGGGCATCAGGCACACACATTAACATATATGCAGGCAAAACACGCATGCACATAAATAATAAATGTATCTTTAAAACACATAACTTGCCATGCAGTAGTGGTGCAGACCTTTAATCATAGCACTTGTGAGGCAGAGGCAGATGGAAATTTGTGATTTCAAGCCCAACCTGCTCTACAGTAAGTTCTAGGACAGTCAGAGCTACAGAGAAACCCTGTCTCAAAGAAAAAGAAATAAAAAAAAAGAAAAAGAAAAAACATATATACTAATTGCTCATTATAAAGGGATTTAATGAGATTTAATTAATTTTCATAAATGCATAGCATATTTTATATAATTAAAATTATTTAATTAAGTATAATACACAGAAACTCAACAAATCTGATCCATTTCACTATAATTTCTTTTATCTTTTATGGAACTCACAAAAAAGTTACAACAAAACTATCTAATACAGAATACTTCTGATACAGAATCTAGTTTCCCAAATGCACGTTGGTTCTATATCACAACTTTGGGAAGGGTGCACATGCCATAGGTGCATATGGTGATCAGGACAAGAGGGAGTCAGTTCTCTGACCTTATGAGTCAGAGAAAGTGCCTTCTGTCACTGAGCCACCTCGCCTTTCTGTACTTCCTCTTATGTACTTTCTGTACAGTATACACCCTTCACTGTACATATTATGAAGTACAGTGAGATGTTTCAACACATGTGTTTTATAGTTTTGTTTTTGAAACAGTATCTATGAGGCCAATGAGGGCCTGAAACTGTCCTCCTTCCTCAGTTTCCCCAGTATTGGGATTACAGACATTACCATGCCCAACTAACTTAACCTTTCTATTAAACTGGAAAGACAAAAAACAAAAGCAAAAACCAACATCTCTTACCTTCATCACAATACCACCAAAGAGTTCTTTTTATCATACTTACTGGTGCCATCTCCATGTTATTTATCTGGGCCTCATGAAAGCCACCATCAGACATAACTTCTTCTTCTGTTTCTTCTTCTGCTGTAGCAACATTTCTTCTCTTGAATAACTAAAAAGTAAAAGAATGTTAGTCATATAATTTTAACACAAGGGAATTCAACACCCTTTTAGTTCTAAAGCTTTGTGCTGCCTTTAGTGTTTCCTGGTGAGGAAGACTTCAGACTTCTTTGTCTACAATCTTACAATTGAGTCAATTAACTACCATACTACCTATGCCAGTATTCAAGAGCATAAAACTTAACCAAGAAAAACTGGATACTGCATGACATAAATGTGATGACAATGATGATGATGATGTCAACAACCCACATGGATGAAAATAACTTTGGGGCATGTTGAGGTCATTTCCCTCAACACTTGGTAAGAAACAGGCACAAGGCAGTCTTCACAGTTCTTCAGGAAAAAAATGACAAAGACACGATTAGAATGATTCAATACTTCATCTTAACAATCTTCAAGGATAGATAGTGTGTTGAGGTTTCTAGAGCTGTCAATCTCTAGGAATCGATGACAGCAAAGGATGACTATATAAACAGTATCTTTTAAAGCCTCATTAATTTTCTAGGCTATACAGTATATTGTCTAAGTCTTCAAAACTTACTATTAGGCTTGTACCACTCATCACAATTTGAACTAGCTACAAATTAATTGTAACAAGCGGCCATCATACTAGACAATCAGCTCAAAAGTTTAGGAATTTCAAGGAGATAAAAGCAGTGTTAGATGCAGCTAGAACCTGACGCTCTACAGAACAAACTTTCAACATTACTGGTTCAGGTGATGTCAACCACCTTCGCAGCTTTGGAAAAGGACTAGGGATAAGTAACTCATACAATGCTCAGAGTGGAGCAGGGCGCTCAGGAGACAGAAGCTGTAGGTCTTTGTGACTTCAAGGCTGGCCTGGGCAGCCAGAACTACACAAGGACACGACCTCCACAAAAAGGCTCACAATGGTACCTGATATGTCAATACTCAAGACTTAAGTATTATCCACACTTCAAAATAGTAATTGCTTCAGTTCACTAATTTAGAGCTGTATAGTCATTTACCAAAAAAAACAAAAAACAAAAAAAAACAAAAAAAAAACCCGGCAGTGGTGGCACACGCCTTTAATCCCAGCACTTGGGAGGCAGAGGCAGGCAGATTTCTGAGTTCGAGCCCAGTCTGGTCTACAGAGTCAGAGCCACACAGAGTAACCCTGTCTCAAAAAAAAAAACAAAACAAAAAAAACAACAACAAAAAACAAACAAACAAACAAATCACGACTAATTTTCCTTGTATACTCAATAAAAGTGACTACCAGGCAGGTCAGAGCTATCAGGCAAGACCCCAGTTTCTACATGCCCCCTACTGAAAAATCTACTAAATGGCTAACTTCAGCAAAAGGAAGGAGTTTGAGAGTCAAAGGAGCCTTTCACAGGGGTCACCTAAGTCCATCAGGAAGTAACAAATATTTATATTATGATTCATAATAGGAGCAAAATTGCAGTTATCAAGTAGCAACAAAATATATGATTAGGGGGTCACTATAGCAAGAGGAATTGTATTAAAGGGTGGCAACATTAAGATAGCTGAAAAACCACTGTTCTAGAAAACACATGAGATTAAGGAGAAAGGATCATTATAAGAAAAAGGTAAGAAATTCCCAGTAAAGAAGTCTCAGTACAACAGCTACACAGCAAGTCCACAGCACAGGATAAACAATATTAACTGATCCAAGAGAAAAAAGTATACTGGGGAAGAACTTCCCTCACAAAAAAACAAAAAATTATCCGAAAAGTTCACAAATACAAAGTTAAACTAAAAAACAAAGCTAAAATTAAAAATTAACAGGACATAGTAATATATATATGCCTTTAGTCCCAGTATTTAGGGGGTAGAAGCTAGCCTAGTCTACACAGCAAGCTCCAGGATAGCCAAAGCTAAATGGTGAGACCCTGTCTCATAAACAAATGAATAACCTAGCTATAGAAGGAAATGACTAAATGTTAGAAAGTTAAAGCTAAAAAAGTTTTTTTTTTTTTTTTTAAAAACACGTGGGGGAGTGAGGTCTGTTGGAAAGATTACCTCAATAGTAAAGAACACTGCTGTTCTTCCAGAGGACCTAGGTTCAACTCTGAGCACCTACCTAGTGATTTAGGAACATTTTTAATTCTAGTTCCAGGGGATCTAACTGAGCCTCTACTGTCTTCCACAGGTACCAGGCATGTACAGAGTACACAGACATACATAAAAAAAAAACATATACATAAAATGCAGAAATAAAACATTTTTTTTAAAGGGATGGAGTAGTAGAGCATCCATTGTTCTTGCAGAGGACCAGCCATCCCAAGTTTATAGCTCTCACATGGCAGCTCACAGTTCCTGGATCTGACATCCTCTTCTGGCCTCCATGGGTACTGCATGCATGTAGTGTGTATGTATACACACAAGCAGAAAAAAATACCCATACACATAACATATAAATAAATCTTAAAAAAGAAAATAAGAGAGCTGAAGAGATGGCTCAGCGGTTAAGAGCACTGAGTGCTCTTCCAGAGGTCCTGAGTTCAATTCCCAGCCACCACATGGTATCTCACAACCATCTGTAATGAGATCTGATGCCCTCTTCTCGTGTGTCTGAGGACAGTAATAGTGTACCTACATACATAAAATAAATAAATAAATCTAAGAAAGAAAGAAAGGAAGAAAGGAAGAAAGGAAGAAAGGAAGGAAGGAAGGAAGGAAGGAAGGAAGGAAGAAAGAAAGAAAGAAAGAAAGAAAGAAAGAAAGAAAGAAAGAAAGAAAGAAAGAAAGAAAGAAAGAAAGCTAGCTAGCTCCAGGAAAAAAAACCAAGGTACATAAAAGAAAATGTAGCTACTTAATTCCATGATGGATATTGCATACACACAGGAATACAGCTGTACTAGTAGAAACAAACTTTACCTACCACAATGGAACATCAGTAGACATTTTAAACTCACCAATATGTAGAAATTACTCAGAAATTTAACATCCACAAAAATTAAAATCACCTTACCTGAGAAACTGCCTGTTAATTTTCAAATATTTTAATATTATTTGGCTTACCCTACTATGTGTACTAATCACTCACAAAGTAGGAATGTAAAAAGAAAATATAACTGCCCAGACAATCATGACCTGTATGTATGTATGTATGACTACCAGATACAGAACAGGTCATCTGGACTCATCAGCCAAGCCAACTGATGGCAAACACCAATAGTCCCAGTTTTTATCAATTTGTTATTCCAGAAGATATTTCTTGTAACTGAAAGTGTCAAAGGAGCCTTCACTCTGTATCACTTTGTTTTTTTTATGAACTTTACAGCAATATCCTATGACCGAATCACATCAAGTCAGCAAAAATCTGTAATTCAGTAAACTCAAAATAGGTCCTTTCTGTACAGGAAAATGTCTAGTTTCAACAGTCTGAGAACTAGACAGAGGTCATTTATACATTCTACCTACACAACAAATACTAATTTCTACTCTACTAATTGATGCAGCTAACATTTTGTTCTTGGAAGTACCAAATGCTTGCTGCACTTCACTCAGACCTAACTGCTGGCACAAGGCAGTGACTTTTCCAGATAAATAACAAGGCAGCTGTGGAGGAATCAACAATACCAAATGAATTCCCGTTTTCCTGATCTTCACTATCTTACAAACCAAGCTTGAAGTACTAATTAGTTTTAGCAGTTTATCCATACAAAACAGAATTTATGAAGTGACAAGATTTCTTGGTGGGAGGCTCTTTGGTTGGCCTAGAACTCCCTCTAAAGACCAAGCTGGCCACCAACTTAAAAATATCCACCTTCAGCCAGGCAATGGCGGCGCACGCCTTTGATCCCAGCACTTGGGAGGCAGAGGCAGGCAGACTCCTGAGGCCATCCTGGTCTACAGAGTGAGTTCCAGGACAGCCAGAGTAAAAAAGGGAAATCCTGTCTCAAAAAAACCAAAATCCAAAAACCAAAAAAACAAGTATCTACCTTCCCCTCCTTCCCAAGTACTGAAATTAAAGGTATACCACTATACGTGGCTCCAAGTTAAGTTTTTTCTTTTTAAGGTTTATTTTTATGTCTGTGAGTGCTCTATCTGCATCTGCATGCCAGAAGAGGGCACCAGATCCTATTATGGATAGTTATGAGCCACCATGTGGTTGCTGGGAATTGAACTCAGGATCTTTGGAAGAGCAACAGTGCCCTTAACCACTGAGCCATCTCTCCAGCCCTCAAAGCTAAGATTTTAAGTAGAGCAATATTACAGAAAATTAAAGCCCTAGCACAATTTCAGATTTTTATACAATAAATATAGTAAACTTCCAACTATAACCACAAATACTTTCAGTTAAAAGTATGGTCATATTTTTCAATTTATATACTATAGATGTTGAGCTTCTGCTTTTAGCAGTTAAAAATAAATATAAAAAGTTATGAAAATTTTAGAACAGAACTGAAACATGAATAAGCTATCACAAAAAAATAACAATCAGTAAGGTGAAAAACTTTTTGACATTGACACAAGGCTGCAAAGAAAAAAAAATCTTTACCTGCTGAACCAATTGCTATCCTAAGTTTTGTTTGTTTTAAGACAGTCTGTAACCTAGAACAACGTTCTTGTCTCAGCTTCCCAAGCACTTCAACTATAGATGAGACCTACCACACACACCAGCTTTGTCCTGAGCATTTTAAAAGTGAGACTAAGTCCTCTATCTTCTTGCACATTTTCATACTTAATAATAATTAAAGGCGTCCTTGAGATGGCTCAATGACACTACCACCCTGGGAACTGCATGGCAGGGAATCAACTCTCACAAGCTGTCCTCTGACTTCCACATACATCCTTGGCTCTAACATGTCTACTCCTACCTTGCCACACAAACATCATGCATACACATTAAATAAATGTAATCTTAATATTCTAAAAGCCTTATCCAAAATGTCCTTTCGGACAAAATACACTGAGAAAAGAAAAGGTGTATTCCCTGAAATTTTACTTCAAAACATTAGGCATTAGAACTGTACAGAGACATGAAGCAGCTACAGCACACTGATGACAGTCACTCAGGTTAAGGTTTGAGTTTATGAGGGTCATAAACCCTCAAACTGTATCTTCAAACTTCTCAAACATTTGTAATGAGGCAATGCTCTGTCATAAGACTTCAGTAACACAGGCAAATCAGAAGCATACTGTACTTTCCAAGGTGACTGACAGTTGAGAATGGAGCGTCACAGGCTTACCTGCTCTTCTCTTTTCTGCTTCCGTAATTGCAGTCCTTCTTCCTCCCTCCTCCTGCGCATCTCATCAGGATTCAGAGATTTGTTCTTGTAACTTTTCAGGCGAAAGTTCTCTTTTCCTGGCGTGGACATGATTTCTAGAAGAAGTGAGAAAACAGATGAGTTTTAAGAGTTTTATTATTCAATGAACTCAGCCTTTAACATACATATATACATACATACATACATACATACATACATACATACATACATATTATACACACACACACACACAGACTCACCAAAAAGGTTATTTTCAAATTTTATTTCATTTGTTTAATGGGAGGAAGGATACCAACACACTGCATGGAGGTCAATCAGCCTAACAGATGGAACTTAGATTGCCAGACTTAATGGCAAGCATCTTACCCCAGTCTACCACTTAATGGAAAGCATCTTACCCCACAGTCTATCTCACAGGCCCATTTTATTTCTAATAGCTTTACTAAAATATTCAACTTTTTCTTTGGCTAACTAATATTCCATTGTATATGTCTATAACAATTATATTTATCTCTCATCAGCTAAGGAACATCAGGGTTATTTCCACCCTTTGGCTAGTATGAATTACACTTCTAAAAACATTTACGAAGAAGATTTTGTGCAGATATATTTTCATTTCTTGTGCATATATAGTTATGAGTGGTCTTGTGGGTCATAGTAATTCTTTGTTTTAATCTCTTGAAAAACTGCCAACTGCTTTCTGAGGTGGCCTCATCATTTTATATGCCATCACTTCGTGTGAGTTACAATTTTCTACATCTTAGATAATAAAACTTCTTTAATTTAATCACCCTAATATGTACAAAGTGATATCTCATGGTTCTGATTTATAATCTTCTGGTGACTAATGAAGTACAGCAGATTTCACAATTACTATCTAAGTATGTATCTCTCAGATCCTTTATTTTTAAATTGGGCTTCTTATCTTTTCAATCTTGAGTTGTAAGAGGTTTTTGTCTTTTTTATTCATTATAGATAAAACTCTTAAAATCTTAATTTTAGGCTAGAGAAATGGTTCAGTAGTTAAGAGCAGCTGCCACTCTTGCAAAGTTCCTGGGTTTGGTTCCCAGCACCCACATGGTGACTAGTGTCCACAGCTCTGGTCCATCTGAAGCCCTCTTCTGACTTCCAAGGGCATCAAGCACCCATATGGTTGCACAGACATACATGCAGGCAAAATATCCATACAGATAAAGTTTTTACAGATTCATTTTAATGAAATCTCTAATTTATTTCTTATTCATGCTTTTGCTGTCATATGTAGAAATCCTTAGCCTTATCTTCCTAACAGTTTTACACATGTTCTCTCTTATAATGGTCCATTTCAAGTTAATGTTTGCACATGATATGCAGTCAAAGTTAGAACTTCATTCTTTTGCACGCCTATACAACAATTTTCCATATGATATTTGGTGATCTTTCAATGATCTTGGTTGGCACTTGCTATAGAATGCATGCTTGTGACTTTCCAAAATTTGTATAAGAAATCCTAAGTCTCAGTATGAGGTGAGTCCAGTATGATTTGATCATGATGGCAGAACCCTCAGATATGAGATTGATTCCTCTATAAAACACACAACCAGTTGTGCATGGCAGTCAAGAAGTACAAGCAGGTTTATCTCTGAGTTGAGGCCAGTCTGGTCTACATATTGAGTTGCAGGAAAGCCAGGGCTACAGAAACTTAGTAGCCCAAGTTTGAGACAGAAATTCTATCTCAAAAAAATGTGAACAGGGTTTGCTTGTCCCTTCTGCCAAGTGAAAAGACAACCATTTATGAAACACGACACAACCTCTTGCCAAAGATTAAATGTGCCAGAACCTTGGCCTTGTCCTTTCTAGCCCCCCAGAACCATGAGAAATGAGTTTCTTTTGTTTGTGAAGCACACAGCTGCCTGACAGTGCTCTTGCTGATAACTAGTTTGTCATATACATATATATATATATATATATATATATATATATATATATATATATATACATACATATATATATGTATATATATACACACACACACACACACATACATATAGTTTAGTTTTATGCCTTTCAATTCTATTCAATTGCTCTTTGAATTATCAATGCCTTATATAAGTTTTAGAACAAGGAAGTATATGCACTCCTCCTTATGTTCTCTTAGAAGACTACCTTGGCCATTACAATGTCTTGTACTTCCACATCAATTTTCAGAACCAGTCTGTCAAGTTCTACAAATCAGCTCAGATTCTAACAGAACTGTAATGAATATATAGATCAACTTGGAGAGTATTGCCACCATAACAAGCTAAACATTCAAGTTTATTAAGCAAGTTTATTTTCTAGTTATAGTCTTGATTTTTCTAATGCTAATTTTTTTAATCTTTATTTCAATGAGTATGTATGTGCCTATTTGTATAGATGTGCACCACGTCTGGTGCCTCTCAGGACACCAGAACAGGGGGTTAAATGCCCTGGAACTCAAGTTACAGACAATTGTGAGCCACTGTGTAAGTGCTGGGAAACAAACCCAGGTCTTCTGCAAGAACAACAAGTGCTCTGCACTGTTGAGCCATCTCTCCAGCTCCCTATATAATCTTTACACACCATTCTGAGTATAAATTTTAATTTCTTTTGCTAAGCATATTCCTAAGTATTTTTCTTTTTCTTTTTTTTTGTCCTAGAGAATCAAATTTTAGTTTTATTTTAGGCTTCCCATTACATATCTATAGAAATACAACTTATTCTTCTGGGGTTTTGTTTGGTTGGATTGTTTGTTTGCTAGTCTGTTCTTGTGACAGTGCTTAAAGTAGCCCAAGCTGGCCTCAAACTCCACCTCCTAAGGACTGGGATCTTAGACATGGATTACCACACCCATTTTCAAATGATTCTTACATATTAACCCAAAATATCCTTCAATAGTGCTGTGCTATTAGTGTTAACAGTATTTCAGTGGATATACAAGATCATTTCCTGCAGAGCTCACTTTATTTACACTTACTAATCTTGATACCCTTATGTCTTTAACTTTTCTGGTTAAAGCTGTCAATACAAAGCTGAACATAAATAGGAAACAGACATTCAAGGAAGGCAGCCATTTAAGCATGACATTACCCTAGAAATTTTTCTTTTAAAAATTTTTTTAACTTATGTGTATGTGTGTTATTGTGTTTGTGTGAGTATATGTTATGATACTTGGGTGCTCACAAAGTCCAGACAAGGGCATCAAAACCCCAAGAGCTAGAGTTACAAGTGGTTTTGAGTACTGGGAACTAAACTAAGGTCCTCTGAAAGTACAGGAAGTGCTCTTATGTTTTTAGTGTGAACTTGGCCTTTAACACTGAGCCATATCTCTAGCCCAGAAAGTGCTCTTAACCACTAAACCATCTGCTTTCCATGGGTGTACACTACTGTGTTGAGAGGCTCCTTTCTATTCCTATATGAGTGTTTCTACTGCTGAAGGAATTTGGATTTTTGTCAAGTGCTTTTTCTATGTCTACTGAAATGTACTCTTTGCTTTTATTTTACTAATAATATATTACACTAACATATTTTAGACTTTAAACCAATCTTGCATCTCTAGGAAAGAGAATCCCACTTGACTATGTGTTAAGTCTTTCTCACTATTGGACTCCATTTGTCCTCTGTTGAGAATTGTGTTATGATATTGGCCTGAACTTTTCTTGTGAATACCTTATCTGGCTTTGGTAGAAGGGTTTAGTATGGTCTTTATAAAATGAAAGACTTTGTAAAGATTTAGCACTGAGTCTTCAAATGTCTGGTAGAATTAGGAGTGAAGTCAGCAGGCCTAAGTGTCTCTCTGTGAGAAGCTTGTTCTACAGATCCACACCTTTTATGCTTTCATCTAAGCTTTTATTGTGATACAACTGTTGATCATATTTTAAAATTCTTTTACTGTAAAGGTAGCTAACTAGTAATATCCCCAACTTTGCTTCAGTTTTGTATACAGTAACCCTCCCCTTTCCTATGGCTTTGCTTTCCCAAGTTTCAGACACCATTATCAACCACAAACTAAATCTAGAAAATTCCAGAAGCCGGGCAGTGGTGGCGCACACCTTTACTTCCAGTACTTGGGAGGCAGAGGCAGGTGGATTTCTGAGTTCAAGGCCAGCCTGGTCTACTGAGTGAGTTCCAGGACAGCCAGGGCTACACAGAGAAATCCTGTCTCGAAAAACAAACGAACGAACGAACGAAAGAAAGAGAGAGAGAAAGAAAGAAAATTCCAGAAATAAGTAAATCGTAAGTTTTACACTGCTCATCATTCTCATTGTTGTTGAAATCTCACACTATCTCACTCCATACTGTCAAGTGAGTAAATCACTGCTGTGTCCAGTACATTCATGCTATATCCACCTCCTTCTTGTTGGTAACTAAACATTTTGTCATCACATCAATTGTTGGTATATTGCAATGCTTCCATGTACGGGTTCAGTTACTACCCAGGTTCAAATATTCATTGAAGGAAAAAGAATGTCTCCCCAAAAGGCAAGGGAGGAATACTGTACTTGATTTACAGTTTGTTTCCTCACTGACCTACTACCTAATTGTTCTGTCCACTACTGAAAGTCCAGTAATGAAGTATCCTCACTCTTACAAATTTTTCAGTTATCCTTTCATTTATGTCACACACGCACACACGCACACACGCACACACGCACACATACATAACATACACTTCTTTACTACAGGCCTAGGGCCTAGTAAGACCTTGTCTTTGTTTGGAGTATAGGGAACAGCTAGGGAGATGATGACTCAGTGGTTAAGAATGCATCCTACTCTTACAAAGGATCCCAGAACCCATGTCAAATGGATCATCTGTAACTCCAGCTCCAAAGTATCTGACACTCCTGGCCACCACTGCACACAGACAGACAGAAAGAAACTCATGTCCTGCCCTAAAAGAGGTCAGACATAGTAGCACAAGCTTGTGATTCCAGAACTTGGGAGGAAACAAGATCAAGATTTCAAGGTTACCCTCAGCTACATAGCAAGTTCAATAGCAGTCTGTGCTACATAAAAGAGCCTGTTCCAAAACAAAATTTTTCCAATTAGATTTCTAAAATCTAAAAACATTTTCACAAAAATTAACTACTTAGTCATT